TCAAAGTTCCGAAGTTTCATTTTAAAAAGGGTGGTGTGCATAGCGGTCATGTACAGACAGGACTTCGCGACCCGTTTTGTATTGTGAAAAATAGCAAAGGAAAATGCAAGGTAGCTTTTCTCTTTTGGTTGTTTTATACAAAATTGCTTGGCCTAAGCTTTTTCTATCTTACGTGACATTCTGACCTGAAATCTGAGCTTTACTTATATCAGCTAGAACTTCTCATGGTTCTTATTGATCATCTTTTGTGGCAAACATGAAACAGGATGGTTACACAGAAGAGACCACTGGTCCAGAGTCAGTGCGCGTTCTTGTTGCAACAAGGGCCAAACCTAATCAGGATGGCGAGAGCCCACTCGATAGAGAGTTTTTCAGAAGCTTTTTGGACGTAAGTCCGTTGCTAAAATATGCAAGTATACTTTCTCAAATTTTTTCATGTCACCTTTCTCTGTGAATTTTATTTCCAAAATTTATCTTCTCATGCATTTACAAACATCAAAAAGTGTAAATCATTTTCCATTTATATTACAGGTTCTAAACAACCCTCTACAGACAGGGAGGTTCAACTTTACAACCCAATTTCCTTACTACAAGCAAGTTCTTTACAACCCAGATTTGAGGACTAAAAAGCTGGGAAAGCCCGTAATCTTTGACATGGATATGAGTGCGGGAGATTTTATTGCCCTGTTTTATCTTCTCAAAGTTCCTATGGAAGTAATCAATCTCAAGGTTAGACATTCGATCCTCTTAATCTAATTTTGTCAAGTTTCTTTGGAACATCATGTTCCTAGTCTACTACAGTTGCCTAGTCCTTGAAGAAATATGCAAACACCCTCATGCTAGATCAGGTTAATCTGAATTTTGTACATAATGATGCAGGCGATACTAGTAAGTCCTACAGGATGGGCAAATGCAGCAACAATTGACATCATATATGACATGCTACACATGATGGGTCGAGATGACATTCCAGTTGGTCTGGGCAATGCGTTTGCACTGAATCAGTCAGCAGTAGGTGACTGCAAGTATGTCAAGGCCATCCCACACGGGAGTGGTGGTTTCCTCGATTCAGACACTCTCTATGGATTGGCTCGTACTTTGCCCCGAAGCCCCAGAAGGTATCTCTATGTTCTCACACGAAGCCATGAATGTGGCTTATTTTGATGCCCGATGTTGACATCGTCAGATTTAGATTCTTCAAAGGAAAGATGTATTGTCATTAAAATAAGATGAAGTATGATGCAGAGTAAGTGGTTAGAAGACGGATTCGGGCAGCGACGATAATGCAGTTAGCAATTTAATTGTTTGATCTATCGATGTTATTTACAAATTTTATGATACTAGCTAGAGATTTATAGTGCGAACTAATGGAGACCCCTGCTCTAGGAGTTAATGTCGAGAAGCTAATTAACACAAAACTGTTGTGTTGCTAATTTTGCTGCTGTGCATTCTTATTGTTCCTTCACATTGGTGCTGAGTTGCTGACGATTTGTCATTTCTATAACCGAGGACGATAATTGATATTTCTTTTGTTCCAGATACACGGCAGAGAATTCAGTAAAATATGGAGCTCCTCGAGATACCGATCACCCTCAACTTAGGCAACCATTAGCTCTGGAGATCTGGAATTCGGTTGTAAGCTCACTGAAGCCGGGATCAAAGATAACCATATTGACGAACGGACCTCTGACGAATTTAGCGAATATTATTTTAGCGAATGAAACTGCAACCCACTTCATTCAGGTCGGTAGATTTTGACAGATTTTATCTTGTCTTTTTGTTTTCCTTTCCAAAATGACTAGGTGTCAACATCATAGGATGAATTTTGAATGTCACGGTAGATGAAATATGAAGACAGTGGAACCCCAGGAAAATCAAAAGCGTCTTGAGGAAATGAGCTCTTATGCGCCATTCCCATCATTTCACTCAAAATGCTGCTTCAGATCATACAAGCAATAGCTCTGTTCCTTTTCTTTTGGCTCTTTTTCTAGGGAAGACAATTGTATTTGTTTTCCCGCTCCAATGCTAATCCTTCGCTTCATATTTTCTCCAGGATGTATACGTAGTCGGAGGGCACATCAACCGCAGTATCTCAGACAGAGGAAACGTTTTCACAATTCTCTCTAACAGATATGCAGAACTTAATATGTTCCTTGACCCACTGGCTGCGAAGACAGTCTTCAACTCTGACGTAAATGTGACACTAATTCCTCTTGGAGTCCAGCGCAGAATCAGCTCGTTTTCCGATGTCCTCAAAGCACTAGACAAGACGGAGAGAACACCGGAAGCTCTATTTGTCTCCCGCCTTCTCTCAAGGCTAGGCTGGCTGAAGAAAAATCACAACAGATATAAACATATGGTAAAAGTATTAATTTTTTCGACCTCATAGTTTGATTTTTCCCGTCCCATCTAGTAATTGCTAAACCAGTATTATGTCTTTTCATTAACAATCTCTGTTTTTGTTCTGCAGGATATATTCTTGGGTGAAGTCCTTGGTGCAGTGATCTTGGCCGGTGATCATTCCTCTCTAAAGCCGACCTTCTCCATCAAGGCCATCAAAGTATTCACTGAAGGTGTCGAATCCAAAGACGGGTACACCTATATTGACAACGCCGGTAAATCAGCGAAACTATTGGAAAATGTGGATCCTCAGGCTTTCTACGACCTATTTTCACACGAACTTGGCAATGAGAAGCAGTCTGCTGTAATAGGAAGCTTTGATGACCAGAAAAGAATGTGGAGCACGCCTTCAAATCGGACAGATAGTTCATCGTAACACCCTGTTCTTATCGACGTTCTTCGACTATAGGAAACAAAAAGTGTTCATTTTTAGTCTTGAGATAGAACAGATTCACTAGCAATTGTGATTTCCTTCATAGAAGAAGCTTAAAACTGTCACATCTCCAAATTACAGTTATGCTTTGTTATCCATCTCAATGTAAAGAAACAATTTGTAACACCAAAAGTACAAGAAACATACGCTTACTTACCAATACATGAATAATAATTCTACCAATATTTAGTTTTGTCCATCCTTAGTTGCTTAAATATGTTTTTCCCCTACACACAGGATTTTCAAATCTTTTGACTCGATTAACTCTATGCAAACCACCCATTGAGGTGCATCAGCACTCAGCGGTTACATAAGTATGTTAATATTCTTTATTCAACAAATCTAGGCTTCTTTTATGCCATGACTCACTGTGCTCGAGTGCAGCAAAAGTATTGAATCAGACAGAACCAGAAGTAAATGATGTTATCTCTAGTGGGAGAATTACTTTTGGGCAAATTTTCTCCCTTCTTTTGACTTCAACCTTCAAAGTCATCAGATACTGGTGAATTGTGTGGCAGAGATGATAATATTCCTGAAGCACAAAGAAGAACGAGGGGGCCTCCTTTATCAATCCCCTTGACCTTTTCTTGCACTTTTTTTGTGTGGAAGAATCCACTTAATTTTGTTTTTTTATTGTAAAAGCAGTCGTGTCTATTCTCCTCGCCGCTCTCTTTGCAATGATGCCTCCTATCATCTTTCTGATGAGCTTTCTTGACTATAAAACGCCCTTTTGTTGCATCATTGCATTATGGATGCTAGGCACGAAGTTATAATACTATATTCATCCATTAACTTAGTCTTTGTGTGCCTGTGTTGTGTTTTAAAGACACCTGTGATTGGTCATTTATTTAGTGAAGGTGCGGCAACAATTTAGCTTGCTTCAACATATCAGTGTTTAGCCCTAGAAGGGCTTGGATTTTGCTTAGTGAACGGTAACAATCAGTGATTGATTCTTGACCCCTCCTCCACTTTGGCAATATTAAACGCATAAAAGCAACCTGTTCTAGCTGATATGTTTAAAATTCTAATCCTTTTGGGTTTAGAATATCTTTAGACTTCTCAACATGCCTATCCACAAATCTTGTCTTTTTTTTTTCAGGACTAAAGAGAGATGACCATTTTGACATACAGGAAATGAGGTTTTCTGATTCGAATTGATTCGAATTAGCCAACTCTAGTTACACCAGTTCAATGGTTTTTCATAAGTTTAACTGGCTTGAGGGTCAGTTCTTCATCATTTCTCTTGACCCAAGTTTCAATTTTTTGCCCCTCAACCGAAGACAAATTGTCATCCAAAGCTATTCAACCGGCAATTTTGATTGGGTGACGATTCTTTCATGCAGAATATTTCAATCCAAAAGCAAAAGTTTATCCTCTTCCATGTTTTTGAGCCTGTGCAGTTTCACTGCCTCAGATTTCCACTTCTGTCCAAATCAAACAAAACAAGAAGCACAATAAGACAAGAAAAGGAACCGTATCCTGCAAAAGAGACTCGAATCCCGGAAGTTCCTCCCAGAAAAACAAGTAGGAGCACTTTTTCTAGGAATTTACACTGTGCTAAAGCATTATATAAAGTGATCCTGAAAGAGAGGGAAAAAAAACAGAAGAGATAAAAAGCTCTTTTCCCTGTGAAAAGTTTTGTTTTGTTCTTCCAGCTGGGTCCTTCTATGGTCCCTATATTTTCCCAATGATATTATGATTTGGGTGATATGCATTGTGAGTAATTTCGATACTTATGTACAGATACTTAAAATTCCAATGACCGATAGAGATTTATTTTTTCATGCTCCAACCACGATCGAACGGTTCTCCGGACTAAAAATCCCGACTTCAAAGTGCTTTTGCACGGGAGCTTCAGGCCATAAAGTGGTCTATCCGAGCTCTCTCTCTCTCTCTCTCTCAACTTATGCCACAGCCTGTATCTCAACTATTCCCATCCTCTCAACAAGGGAGTGCGCTTGCAATGCTTATGTTGGAATCATAGATCAACCTCGTAGAGGCAGATTCGGTTTCCAGTGACATTAACATACCGAAGAATAATCTTTAGCATGTGGCAATAAATCATAATATCAACTTATATGAGGGCCGACGTGGTGTAAATACTACCTGATGACAATATATCTTTCTCCATCCCAGCAGAATCCACCACAACTAGCAAGATTGCATCTCCCATAGCAAGCCTCATATTCCATCACATTTCCATTAGCTTCATTTTCTCATCGATCATATGGCAAAAGAAGAAAAACAGAGAGATTAAGCTTGTTTACTAGCATTCAAGCTTAGTAGTTGCAAACATTATACATGCTGAGCCTAAGCAGTATCATAGCTTCTAGATGCTTCTTCTTCTTCTTCAAAACAAGCCCATTATTGCCATCAAAGGATTGGTTGTTGCACTGTTGGGATCGACCCACCAGCAGCCACAACTTGTTGCTCCAGCTGCAATCAAGTTTGAAACAAGCCAACGAAAATCAGATTGATTCGCAAAAGTAGACTGGAATTTTTTTCCAGTCTTTGAAGTAGATCAGTTGAAAGAAATTATTAAACGAATTTCTCTATACCCACCTTGAAAAGAGTTTCAAGCTTGCTTTTCACAAGGAGGAATTCTTGTTTCATTTGTTGCAGACATCTCAGGCACCTGCAACAAAATTCATCTCTTTCCACGTGATCTTGAGGTTTCATAAGCCCATTCTGTTCCTATGTTCCTTACAATATCTATGGCTACACAAAATGATATTTTTTTTATAGGAAAGAGAAAAGGCAGATAACTTCACATTCACAAACAAAAGATTTCTGCAAAAAACTCACCCAGGAATGTTTTTCTCCTGGCAGAAGTTTCGGAAGACCATGCAGGCATTCTTAACTCTTTCTGCTCCTATGCTGTCAACCAAAGTAATCGACTTTCTCATCACCCATTGCAAATAACTTTATGTCTCTACAATCCAAAGCTTAACATTTCACCTTTTCAAATGAAATGCCACTCTCAGGAAAAGCAATTCAAGAAAGTGACATTATTCCAGAAAATCTTTTTTTTGAAAAAAAATAAATGAATAAAAGTTGACTCATTCATTTGAAGAAAGGAGGAGATTTATCTATACCTGGAACTACTGCCCTTCAATTGGTGAACATGAGCATCCACCCTTTTGAAGTCCACATTTTGCTGAGCTCTATATTAGAGAGAGAGATTAATAAACTTTTCAGAGGATGAAGCAAACTAAAAAGCCCCAGGAATGCTGAAGAGATAATGAACAGAGCATCGAGAAACGGAGCAAAAAGCAAATAAGATGGTAAATGTGATTACAGATCTCTGGAGAGATCATTGAGCAGCTTCTCTGAATCAGTGAAGAAAAGAGACACCACTTCCACTACAAAATCTGGGTTGCTCTCATCTTGCAGTTCCTGAAGCTGTAAGTACTGAGAATCCAGAATCCCCTACTCTCACCCAAAAGACAAAAAACAAGCACATCATAAAGCAAAAAAACAAAAAAAAGAAAGAACTTTGACAGATCAACCTAATGCAAGAGCAGAGAGAAAGAGACAGAACCGCTTGAGATTCCACATGAATTTGTGTGATTCTTACCTCTTTGAACAGGGCGTTCGTATAATCAGCCAACCTCCTCTGCATTTGCATCAGACCCACATCCATGCTCTGATCCGTCGTTCCTCACACCCTCCAAACCAACACGCGCTCACACGGAACAACACAAGACAGACCACTTTGTCTGTAAGCCAATAAGTGGCGGGTTTAAATAAAGAAACAGAGAAAAAATCTCTGCAGATCCTGTGGAACAACTGTTCAAACGGAGGCCATAAATGCTAAAGAAACCTTGAAAGCGATTTGATGAATTTATGTGCACGGGCAAAAACGCGAACTTTACTTGGTTTTGCGGACGTGGTTGGTTGATAAAGGGCCCGAAGCTCTCAACGATGCTTTGGATTCGTGCTTTTATTGTTGTTTTTTGGATTGCTGCCGGTCTCCTCTCTTTTTGTCTGTTGTCTAGAATCCTGCCAAACTCTCGCTTGACCTAAAAATTGACAAAAACATAAAAATAACCTTAAAATTACATATATATATATATGTATATGTATATGTATGTATGTATGTATGTATGTATGTATGTGTGTATGTACGCATATGTTATATGTCCCAAAGAAAGTTTACAACATCGCGTACAATAATATGAATATTGATACAAATGAAATTTTTTAGTACATCCGTATGAAGAATATTTATGTCTTATGAAATCACTAAATCTTCAAGGATCTGAACATTCAAATAAAGAACAATATAATAAATTGTAAAATGAAGGAGTTATTGAGAATATGATGTTTATTTTTTGCCGGTGAAGAAAATAGAATTGAGAGGGAGAAGGGAGGCAAATTTGTGGGGTTTTGGGAGATAGTAGGGATCGGGAAAAAGTTTATATCACGATGAGACTTTTAATTGAGTAGATAATAACTTTTATGAAGGGATCGAATGGAACATCTTAAGAGAAATTCATCGGTGAAGACCGCATATTTGTTCTTTAAATTTTTAGCATATTAGATAAAAGAAGAGCGATTTCTTGTGTTGAAAAAGGGGAAAGAAAGCAGCTGAGTGCTTGTTGAGGAACAATGGGGTGCTGAAAAGTGGGTGATGTCCAACTACGACCATAACCGTAAAAGAAATATGAAATATTCTAGGGTTAATACTACGAACAATCAACTGTGATAAATTTACCAAAACTAATTTTTCGATCACTAAAATCCCCAAATTAGTATATCTGTGACAAATCTACCCTCCGTTAATTTCCATTAAATTTTGCCATTAAATTGCTGAGTTGGATGATACGTGGCAGTTGACAGGTATACCAGTTTTGGGTTTTATTCTCCGTTCTTCATAAGTGTATTAATTTATGATTTTTCGTGATATTAATCCAATTTAACAGAAACTAATGGAGGGTAAATTTATCATAAATGTACCGGTTTAGGGTTGTTGATGGTAAAAAAATTAGTTTGGGATAAATTTGTCATAGATGTACCGGTTTGGGATTTTTGGTGGTCAAAAAATTAGTTTGAAATTAATTTGTCACAAGTGTACCATTTTGGGGTTTTTCATGGTATTCAATAAATGAAATTTTATGGTCAAATTTGATGAGCGATAATGACATCAAATATTTTGATAAAGAGCAGAGATGTGCATAATAACATTGTACAACTGTTTTTTCTTTGAAAATTCTGATGTATATTATGCGGTTTGAGTAATGGCTAGCACTTTGGGTGATACTATAGCTTCCAAATTTATATCTGGTCAGACATTGCTTGTGCAGTAATTCTCAAAAGAAAAAAAAATGTTCTAAAAAATAGTCATAATCCAAATACTCGTTTTGAGGCTGGTTACCTTGATCAAATGGATAGAGAGTTCGGATAAACGAAATCACATATTGAACGAGCAAGAAATATTTGGGTGATGTAAGTCGGCATTTGCGAGTCTGGTCCATATTGATTGAGCCATCGGACTTGGAACTACCTAGTCCATTATCTCTATGCAATTCTTGGAAAAAAATGCCATTGTCTTTTCATAAGATGCCATCCGAACTGCAAAATGTTGTAGTCTATGTAAGTTTTTCTTTATACAAGAAATTATGTTGTTTGTCACTCGTTAGCAAAGTTTACTTGTGGCTGTATTAAATTATACCGTGAAACCTCGGGAGTCCCTGCCTTGATCACTTTAACTCAGTGGACGTGACGGTTTACATATACCATTTACAGAGATTAGTCATACCGACAATGCAAACATCCAAATGGGGGTTGTCACGACTTCATTGAATTGAGAGGCTTGCCAAATGTTATCTAACATAGGATTCATACGATATACAGACTTCGATGATGCTGAAAATTGTCACTCGAGCTTTATTAAATACCATATCCAAAGTGAAATGAGGCTGAGCCCCTTTTAAACCGAAAAAAGGTTAATTCATATGAAAAAAAAACTAAATACCTTGTAAGCTTGTTTACTAGCATTCAAAGCCTTATTAGTTGCTAACACTACACATGCTGAGCCTAAGAAGTATCACATAGTAGCATCTAAATGCTGCTTCTTCCTCTTTTTCTTCAAAACATGCCCACAGTGGCCATCAAACGCTTGGATTGATTGGTTGCATTTTGGGGAGCGACCCGCCAGCAGCCACAACTTGTTGCTCCAGCTGCAATTCAAGTTTGAAACAAGGCAACGAATATCAGAATGATTCACGAAGGTAGATTGAAAAATTAGCGGTCTTTGAAGTCGATCAGTTTGAAAGAAATCATTAAAAAGTACGTATATACCCACCTCGAAAAGAGCTTCGAGCTTGCTTTTCACAAGGACAAATTCTTGTTTCATTTGTTGCAGACATCTCAGGCACCTGTAATGATCTTAAGGTTTCATAAGATCATTCTGTTCCTATGTTCCCCACAATATTTAGGGCTAAACAATTTGACACTTTTTATCGGAAAAACAAAAGGCAGATACCTTCACATTCACAAACAAAAGATATCGGCGAGAACTCACCCGCGGATGTTTTTCTCCTGACAGAAGTTTTGGAAGACTATGCAGGCATTCTTAACTCTCGGTGCTCCTATGCTGTCAACCAAAGCTTAAAACTTTAACTTTTCTAATGAGTTGCCACTCTTAGGAAAAGCAATTAAGTGACATTCTACCAGAAGAGCTTTTTTTAAATGAATAAAAGTTGACTCATTCATTTGAAGAAAGGAGGGAACTTTATCTATACCTGCAACTGCTGCCCTTCATCTTGTGTGCTTGAGCATGTGCCCTTTTGAAGTCCACATTTTGCTGAGTTCTATATTATAGAGAGAGAGAGAGAGAGAGAGAGAGAGAGAGAGAGAGAGAGAGAGAGAGAGAGAGAGAGAGAGAGAGAGAGAGAGATTAATGAACTTTTCACGGGTTAAGCAAACAAAAATATCCCAGGAATGCTGAAGAGATAATGAAGAGAGCATCAAGAAACGGAGCAAATAGGGGAAGAAATAAGTAAGATGGTTGGTGTGTTTACAGATCCCTGGAGAGATCATCGAGCAGCTTCTCAGAATCAGTGAGGAAAAGAGACACCACTTCCACTACAAAACCTGGGTTGCTCTCATCTTGCAGTTCATGAAGTTCCAAGTACTGAGAATCCAGAATCCCCTACTCTCGCCCAAAAGGCCAATAAAAGCACATCACAAAGCAAAAAAGAGAAAATCAACCTAATGCAAGAGAGAGAGAGAGAGAGAGAGAGAGAGAGAGAGAGAGAGAGAGAGAGAGAGAAATACTTGAGATTCTACATGAGTTTGAGGTTCGTACCTCCTTGAACAGGGAGTTCATGTAATCAGTCAACCTCCCCTGCATTTGCATCAGACCCACATCCATGCTCTAGTCTGTTGTTTCTCTCACCCTCCAAACAAACACAAACTCTCACGGAACAAGACAAGATAGACCACTAGCTGGTGGCTTTAAATAAAGAAACAGAGAAAAGTTTTCCAGAACCTGTGGAAGAACAGTTCAAGTGGAGGATATAAATGCTAAAGAAACCCTCAAAGTTAGTTTAAATTGTATCTTTAAAAAATTTCGTGGGATACTTATGACTGTTTTAAAAGATTCAGTCGTTACATAAATCCTAATACACTTGTTCACATGTGTTCACGTGAAAGATCGAATTTTGAACTCGTATTAAAGATGAATGAATGCATGATTTAATATTTAAATATTAAAAGGGTTTGATTCATGCTTCCCCTCCTTTTGTATGTGGCCCACACACTCGCCTGACCTAAAACTGACAAAAAAAAACACAAGAAAACCTTATAATGACATCATAGCATCCGTAAATATATATTATATGTCCAAAATGGTCTAAGTAAGACCTTAAAAGGCTTTGTCCAAACTCTAGGACGTAAAACTCGGAGTATTCCCTGAGGTGAGGGAAGAAAAAAACAATTCTCTAACTTGGAGGGCAAAAGATTGCATCTATAGAGCCCGTCATCAATGAATGTCAAACGGACAGACCGCAACGGCCTACGTTTATCTCTGCTTTGGTGAGGTTCCCTCTTAATCAAATATCAAGAATCCAAGGCAAAGTTATGGTTAGAGGGAACAAGAAAGTTTACAACTTCCGTACAATGATATGGATATTGATACAAACGCATTGTATAGAAAGTTTTAATGATTATTTATTATATTATGTATGAAGAAAATTCATGTCTTGTGAAATCACTAAATCTTCAAGAATTGGAAAATTCTTCTAAAGGAGGATACTAGAAATTGCAAAACAAGGGACTTATAGAAAATGGAAATGTACCGGTATAGAAAATAGAAGTTAGAGGGAGAAGGGTGGGCTTATTTGTGGGGTTTAGAAAGGGAGATAGTCAAGATTGCAGAAAAAGTTTAAATTGCGGTAAGACTTTGAATTAAGTAGATTAGAACTTTTTTCTAAAAGGGTCGAATGGAGTATCTTTTATTTATGAAATCACATATTACTTCTTCTGATTTTTGGTAGAGTAAATAAAGCATGGACTTGAGCAGGTCCTTAAAAGGATCAAGGAGAGACAGTAAGGAATTCCCCAATATGATGGAGAAGGCGAATGAAATTTCTATTATTTATGAAAACCACATTAGATTAGACAAAGCAAGAGCGCTTACTTGTGTTAAATAAGGGGAAAGAAAGTAGCTGAGTGTTTTGTTCAGGAAGAAGGGACATAGAAAAGTGAGTGATCTCCAATTATGACAATGACCGACAAAAAACGAATGAATTATTCTACTCGAAAGAGGCAATACATAGAAAATGGTCGAAATTGATAAGTGATAATGCCGTCAAGTTCATTGTACAACCCCTTTTTGTTTGAAAATTCTAATGTATATCTAACATAGAATTTGTATGATCTACAGATTTCGATGATGCTGCAAATTTTCACTCAAAATTTATTAAATATCATTTCGAAAGTGACAGTAATTTCTTCAGACTGTTTGGATCCTATGAAAAACTAAAAACCTTTTAAGCTTGATTACTAGCATTCAAGCTTAGTAGTTACTAACATTACAAATGCTGAGCCCAAGTATCTATCATATTAGCTTCTATAAGCTTCTTCGTCTTTATCTTCTTCAAAACATGCCCACTATTGCCTATCAAAAGCTTGATTGCAGTTTTGGGATCGACCCACCAGCAGCCACAACTTGTTGCTCCAGCTGCAATTCGAGTTCGAAACAAGCCAACGAATATCAGAATGATTCACGAAAGTACATGGAAAAATTACCAGTCGTAGAAGTAGATAAATGGAAAGAGATCATTAAAACGAGTTTCTCTGTACCCACATTGAAAAGAGTTTCGAGCTTGCTTTTCACAAGGAAGAATTCTTGTCTCATTTGTTCCAGACATTTCAGGTACCTGCAACAAAATTAATGTCTTTCCTCATGATCTTGAGGTTTCACAAGCCCATTCTGTTCCCATGTTCCTAACACTATTCATGGCTAAACAATCTGATATTTTTTATCAGAAAAAGAAGAGGCTGATAACTTCACGTTTACAAGCAAAAGTTTTGGGGAAAAACTCACCCAGGAATGTTTTTCTCCTGACAGGAGTTGCGGAGGTTGCGGAAGGCTATGCAGGCATTCTTAAGCCTCGGTGTTCCTATGCTGTCAACCAAAGTCAACGACTTTCTCATCAACCATTGCACAAACCTTTTTGTCTCTACAATCCAAAGCTTAAAATTTCACTAAAAGCAAGTGAAGGAAGTGACATTCTTCGAGAAAAAGCTTTCTGTAGAAAAGATAAATGAAAAAAAAATTGACTTTTTCATTTGAAGAAAGAAGGAAACTTTATCTGTACCTACGACTGCGGCCCTCTAACCGGTCAACATGAGCGTCTACCCTTTGGAAGTCCACATTTCGCTGAACTCTATACTGGGGAGAGAGAGATTAATGAACTTTTTACAGTATGAAAAACCCAGGAATGCTGAAGAGATGATGAAGAGCAGCAAGAAACGGAGCAAAAGAAGGAGAAAAACAAGTAAGTTGGTCGGTGTGTTTACAGATCGGTGGAGAGATCATGGAGCAGCTTCTCAGAATCAGTCAAGAAAAGAGACAACACTTCCACTACAAAACCTGGGTTGCTCTCATCTTGCAGTTCCTGAAGCTGTAAGTACTGAGAATCCAGAACACCCTACTCCCGCCCAGAACGCCAAAAAAAAACAAGCGCATTACCAAGCAAAAAAAAGAACATTGACGGGTCTAGACTTTACATGAAGATGTGTGACTCTTACCTCTCTCAACATGGAGTTCCTGTAATCAGCCAAACTCCTCTGCATTTGCGTCAGGCCCACATCCATGCTCTGATCTGTTGTTTGTCACCCCCTCCAGACCAACACGCACTCCCACGGAACAACACAAGACGGACCACTTTGTCTTTAAGCCAACAAGTCGTGGCTTTAAAATAAAGAAACAGAGAAAACTTTGCAGATCCTGAGGAACAACTGTTTGATTACGCGGGTAAAGATGCTAACTTTACTTGGTTTTGCGGATGTCGTTGGTTAGTACGGGACCCGGAGCTCTTAATGATGCTTTGGATTCGTGCTTTTATGGTCGCTTTTTGGGATTGCTGCGGGTCTCCTCTCTTTTTGTGCCTTTGCCCGTATAGATAATAGAGTTTAGAGGGCGAGGGATGGGCTTATTTGTGGGGTTCCGAGAGGGAGATATTCAGGATCGCGAAAAATGTTTAAATTACGATAAGACTTTAAATTGAATAGATAAGGACTTTAAGTTAAGTAGATAAGGGCTTTTTCTAAAGGGGTCGAATGGAATTTCTTAAATTCATCGGCGATAACCGCTTACCAATTCCTTTAATTTCTAGTGGATTAGATAAAACAAGAGCGCTTACTTGATTTCAAAAAGGGAAAGAAGGTAGCTAGCTGTTGGTTGAAGAAGAAAGGGGTGCAGAAAAGTGGGTGATGTCCAGTTTGGATAATGACCTACAAAAAAATTAACTATTCTACTCCATAGAGGCAATTAGTAGAATTCGATGGTCAAAATTGATGAGCGACGATGCCATCAAATTTTTTCAATAAAGAGCAGAGATGTGCATAATTACAATGTACAACTCATTTTTTCTTTGAAAATTTCTAATGTACATCGTGCCATTTGAGTACTAGACAGGACTATGCGTGAAAATAGAGCTCTCAAATCCATAACTCTGTCGGACATTGCTCGTGAAGTGATACTCAAGGAAATAATAGTTGGAGATTGGTTGCGTTAACTCAAATGGATTGGGAGTAGGGATAAACAGAATCACATGTCAAACATACAAAAAGTCTTTGGATGACATGAGTTAACAATTAACATGAGCGAGTTGGGTCCTTGTTGATTAACTATCAAACTTGGAACTACTGAGTCCGATATCTTCATGCAATCCTTGGTAAAATGTCGTACTTTTCCATAAGATGTCATCTGATCTGCAAAATATAGAAAAAAATGCTTTTATAATCATGCAACTCAACTTGTTTCGTTAAGAGAGAGTATAGCCAAAAACAAATTATATATAATTATAGGCTACGTGATTATTTCTTTATACAAGCCACTTTTTCAATCAGTGATCTGTCGAATATCTAATTCGATCCTATCAACGATGCAAGAAAAGTAATGGAAATTCGCACAACACAAGAATTTACGTGGTTCAGCGGGGGATGTTCCGCCTACCTATGTCCACGGGGAGATGAGATCTGTTTCACTAATAACGTAGAAAAGTGTACAGCCACTCTTTCTCACTCCCTCCTTCTCTTCTTAGAGACCTGTTTCGCCCTAAACATATATAGTGCAACCCTACATGGCACAAATTACAAAATTGCCCACATAGCCTAAAATATTTAGCTTTTCCATATAACAGAATACAAGACATTATCCTCAACAATCTCCACCTTGGCTTGGATTCTGTAAAGCCACCTGTGAAAGAATATGAAATATAGATGTCTTCATCCCCGTACCTCCATAAGAGGTACACTCCCGCACTTATTGAGTGCGTCCCTCACCTTCAACAGCGAGTTATATTAATTGAGCCCAAACAGGACCCAAACTTCTCAATAGTGACTGGCTTGGTAAAACAATCTGCAGGATTGCTATTTGTGTGAATCTTCCGCAAGTGAATGCTGCCATCTGACACAAGCTCCCTGATTTTGTGAAACTTCACATCTATATGCTTTGTTCTTGCATGAAATAATTGATTCTTGGCGAGATGTATGGCACTCTGACTGTCACAATGTAACACCGCACCTCCTTGCTCTAAACCCAGCTCACGAACCAACCTAGTCAACCAGAGCCCTTCCTTAGCAGCTTCTATAACTGCCATGTACTTTGCCTCTGTAGTAGACAATGCAATTGTGGACTAGAGCATCGCCTTCCATGAGATAGGTCCACCAGCTAATGTGAAGACATATCCTGTAGTAGACCTCCTCCTGTCTAGGTCACCAACAAAGTTTGAATCAACATATCCCGCTAACTCCTTCAAACCTCCGTCGCGACTGAACATAATACACAAGTCTGCAGTCCCGCTCAGATATCTAAAGATCCACTTGACTGCATTCCAATGCTCCTTCCCTGGATTACTCATGTATCTGCTAACAACACTGACTGCATGAGATAAATCTGGCCTGCTACACACCATAGCACACATGAGACTCCCAACTGCGCTAGCATAAGGAACTCGAGTCATCTCCTCAATCTCCTCATGTTTTGTGGGGCATTGCTGTTCAGATAACCTGAAGTGGCTAGCTAATGGTGTCCTCACTGGTTTAGCCTTATTCATGTTGAAACGCTTAAGCACCTTTTCAACATACCTCTTTTGAGATACCCAGAGTTTACCCGCACTTCTATCTCTATGAATTTCCATACCAAGGATCCTCTTAGCGGCACCAAGATCCTTCATCTCAAACTCATTATTCAACAAGGACTTTAAAGAGACAATATTATGCATATCCTTAGTAGCAATGAGCATGTCATCAACATAAAGCATCAAAAGAATAATCGAATTATCATCTGACACTTTAAAATAAACACAGCAATCATACTCACTTCTCGAATAGCCAATTTGCACCATAAAAGAGTCAAAACGCTTGTACCACTGTCTTGGAGATTGCTTAAGGCCATAAAGTGATTTCTTAAGCAGACAAACGTGATCTTCCTTTCCTGGCACTTTGAACCCGTCAGGTTGCTCCATGAAAATCTGTTCCTCCAAGTCTCCATGAAGAAACGCCGTCTTCACATCAAGTTGCTCCAGCTCAAAATCAAACATGGCTACCAAGGCAAGTAGAACCCGAATGGAAGTGTGCTTTACTACTGGAGAGAATATTTCATTATAATCCACCCCTTCCTTCTGTGCATACCCTTTAGCTACAAGTCTAGCCTTGTACCTTACCTGCTCATTCTTAGACACTGCCTCTTTCTTGCGAAAGATCCATTTACTCCCAATCATCTTTCGCCCTTTAGGTTTCTCCACAATCTTCCAAGTCCTGTTTTTCTGTAAGGATTCCATTTCTTCCATCATAGCTGACATCCATTTATCACTATCAGCATCAGATATCGCATCCTGATAGGAAGATGGATCGCCTGTACCTACTGTGAGGGCATAAGCAACCCTATCCTCAAACCCGAATCTCACAAGTGCTTTGTGAGTACGTTTTCCTCTACCTTCTGCAATGGTGTAGGTATCTTCTACTGTCTCCTGTGATTCTGGTGAGTTACTGGATGATTCCCTTCCTCCCGCTATTTCTGGTTCACCTGACTCCACCCGCACAGTAGATCCTTTTTCACTTCTGCCATCTGCATGTGAACTGTTATTTGCCTTCACCATGTCAGATTCATCAAAGACAACGTCCCTGCTAACCACGGTCTTCCGTGCATTAAGATCCCATAGCTTGAATCCTTTCACACCTTTCTCATAGCCAAGAAAGATACACTGCTTAGACTTTGAGTCTAACTTGGAACGATGTCCACTTTGTACATGAACATAGGCTGGACAACCAAATACTCTCAAACTAGAATAGTCAATCGGATTACCTGTCCACAACTCCTCGGGAACTCGCATTCAATGGTGTAGATGGAGACGTTAATGAGATAGCATGCCATATTAGCGCTTACGCCCGGAAACTTTTACTCGCCCCGCATTCGGCCTCATACTCCGAGCCCTTTCCAAAAGTGTCCTGTTCATCCTCTCAGCTACACCGTTTTGCTGTGGTGTATCTGATGTTGTGAAGTGACGTGTGATCCCTTCAGCTTTACATAGTTCCAGGAATAGTGTGTACCTGTATTCCCCTTCATTGTCTGTTCTCAAGCACTTTAGCTTCTTTCCTGTCTGCCTTTCTACTTCAGCCTTCCACTCTTTGAATTTGGAGAAGACTTCGTTCTTCAGCTTCATGAAGTAGACCCAGACTTTCCTTGAGTAATCATCAATGAAGGTCACAAAATATTCGGCTCCACCTTTTGATTTGATCGGTGTAGGACCCCATACATCGCTGTGTACATAATCAAGTACATCCTTGCTCGTATGCTTCGCAGGTTCGAAACTAACCACTGCTCTGTTTCCAACGATATTTGCGAAGTTCAATTTGCGGCTTTTGACACCTTTTAACGGCTTCCTTTTATGAAGCTCCATCATACCTCTTTCACCCATATGCCCTAACCGCATATGCCACAGATGAGTGTCATCTGTATCGGACTCTACAGCTGTAGTCACAGATGCTCCACCTGTTACTGTACTCCCTATGAGCCTATATAAACTTCCAGTCAACTCTCCTTTCATGACAACCATAGCTCCCTTGATGACTTTGAGAACTCCACCTGCTGCTGCGTACTTGCACCCATTCACATCAAGCGCACCCAAAGATATCAAATTTTTCTTTAGATCTGGAACATGCCTTACATCCACTAAAGTTTTGACTATACCATCAAACATTCTGATTTTAATAGTCCCTATTCCAATGGTTTTGCAAACCGCATCATTCCCCATTAGAACAGATCCACCACTGTATGACCGGTATGAATCAAACCAATCCCTATTCGGGCACATGTGATAAGAGCATCCAGAGTCTAAAATCCATGAATCAGCGAACTGATTCTTACCTGATGATATAGAGAGAAGATCTCCATCATCACCGTCTGAGCTATCAGCCACACTTGCTTGATTAGAAGTTTTCTCGTGCTTTTTCAAGTCTTCCTTTTTCTTATAACAGTCTTTTTTCAGATGGCCTTCCTTCTTGGAATAATAACAAGAGAGTTTTGTTTTACCCCCTCTTGATTTCGATCGACCCTTATTCCCGGATCCCCGCTGGATTGTTCTTCCCCGTTCCTGCTCCTTGACTTTTCCGATGAGACCCTCACCCTATGCCGTAGCTTTGTTAACCCTCTTTCTCGTATCATTAGATAATAGGGCGTGATGACCTCATCTGTCTCAAGCGTCTCCTTTCCATACAAGAGTGTCGTCACCAGATGATCATAAGATGCTGGTAGCGACGATAGCAGTAATATGGCTTTGTCTTCATCTTCCATTGAAACCTCCAGACTTGCAAGTTTACTCAGAATCTGATTGAACGTGTTGATGTGTTCTAACAGATACGAGCCTTCCTCCATCTGTAGAGAGTATAACTGTTTTTTCAAAAACAGTTTGTTCGTTAGGGACTTGGTCATATAGATGCTCTCAAGTTTCGACCACACCTGCGGAGAAGACTTGAGATCCACCACATACTGCAGAACCTCATCAGATAGGTTCAATCGAATGGCGCTTACCGCCCTTTCCTCCATCTCCCCCCAATCTTCATCACTCGTTTCTGGTTTCTTCCCTTTCCCCAGCAGCACTTTCGACAGGCCCTGCTGAATCAGAAGATCCATCATTCTTCGTCGCCAGAGAGTGAAGGTGTTCTTTCCATTAAACCTCTCGATGTCGTACTTGACACTCAAACCCTTTCCTGCCATCTTGATAGCTTGTCGAACCAAGCTCTGATACCAATTGTCGAATATCTAATTCGATCCTATCAACGATGCAAGAAAAGTAATGGAAATTCGCACAACACAAGAATTTACGTGGTTCAGCAGGGGAGATGTTCCGCCTACCTACGTCCACGGGGAGATGAGATCTGTTTCACTAATAACGTAGAAAAGTGTACATCCGCTCTTTCTCACTCTCTCCTTCTCTTCTTAGAGACCTGTTTCGCCCTAAACATATATAGCGAAACCCTACATGGCACAAATTACAAAATTGCCCACATAGCCTAAAATATTTAGCTTTTCCATATAACAGAATATAAGACATCATCCTCAACATGATCGGCATAGTTAATTGTCACTAATTAGCAAAGTTACTTCTAGTCGTCGCTCCCTTTATCAATTGAAATAATTGGATATGCCGAAAATGCATACACCCAAGTTGTCAAGAATGTATGTTCTTGAGGTTGAGAAGTAAGATGGGAGTCGGCATGGCTTTAATAAATTCGAGAGGTTTACGAATGCCAAAGCCACGTTATATAATATAGGTTTAATATGATCTACACAGTTTGACACTGCTGAAAATTTTCACTCAAGTTTTATTAAGTACCAGCAATTTCATAGTTGCTAACATTGCACATGCGGAGCCTAAGAAGTATTATAGTAGCTTCTATATGCTTCTTCTTCCTCAAAACATGCCCACTATTACGATCACTCGCTTGGTTGCATCTTGGGGATTGACCCACCAGCAGCCACAACTTGTTTCTCCAGCTGCAATTCAAGTTCGAAACAAGCCAACGAATGTCAGAATGATTCATAGAAGTAGATTGAAAAATTACCAGTCTATGTAGTAGTTGAAAAAAAGTCATTAAGAAGAATTTATCTATACCCACGTCGAAAAGAGTTTCGAGCTTGCTTTTCACAAGGAGGAATTCTTGTTTCAGTTGTTGCAGACATCGCAGGCACCTGCAACAAAATTCATCTCTTTCCTCATGATCTTGAGGTTTCATAAGCCCATTCTGTTCCTCATATTTATGGCTAAACAATTTGATATTTTTTTATCGGAAAAACAATCGGAAAACAAAAGGCAGTTCACAGACGAGAGATTTGGGCAAAAACTCACTCAGGAATGTTTTTCGCCCGACAGAAGTCTCGGAACGCTATGCAGGCATTCTTAACTCTCGATGCTCCTATACTGTCAACCAAAGTCATGACTTTCTCATCAACCATTGCACATACCATTATGTCTCTACAATCGAAAGCTTAAAATTTCACCAATTAAAGTAAGTGACATTCTTCCAGAAAAGCTTTGATAAAAATAAATGAATAAAAGTTGACTCGTTCATTTGAAGAAAGGAGGAAATTTATCAATACCTGGAACTGCTGCCCTTCAATTGGTGAACATGAGCATCCACCCTTTTGAAGTCCACGTTTTGCTGAGCTCTACATTAGAGAGTGAGATCAATGAACTTTTCACAGGATGAAGCAAACTTAAAAAACCCAGGAGTGCTGAAGAGATGTTGAAGAGAGCATCAAGAAACAGAACAAAATAGGAGAAAAAAAATGACGGTTGGTGTGTTTACAGATCACTGGAGAGATCATCGAGCAGCTTCTCAGAATTAGTGAAGAAAAGAGACACCGTTTCCACTACAAATTCGGGGTTGCTCTCGTCTTGCAGCTCCTGAAGCTCCAAGTACTGAGAGTCCAGAATCCCCTACTCTCATCCAAATGGCCAAAAAAGAAAAATGCACATAGCGAAGCAAACAGAAGAACATTGACGGGTCAACCTAATGCAAGAGCCGAGTGAAAGAGACAGAACCCCATAAGACTTCGCATGAATTTGTGTGATTCTTACCTCTTTGAACACGGAGTTCCAGTGATCAACCGACCTCCTCTGCATTTGCGACAGACCCACATCCATTCTCTGCTTTGATCTGTTGTTTCTCACCCTCCAAACAAACACGAACTCAAACAGAACAAAACCAGACAGACCACTTCGTGTTTCCGCCAATAAGTTGGTGGCTTTAAATGGGGGAAATCATACAAATAGTGCAATATCATGATTGAATTTTTAATTTATTTAACGTAGCTTTTACTCTATTTCTTAATCTTCAATATAGTTTTTGAACTTTTAATTTGTTCAATTTAATCCCTCAACTTTCCATTACAATGTCAAATCAAGCCTCGGTACTAGTTAGTAGTCACAAGTTTCTATAATTACACTATTGCCCAGATTTAAAAATTATTTTTTAATTTCAATCTATTTCCTAAATCAAGAAATAATATTATATCTTTTTTATTATCGTTCTTTTTGGTCTGATAGTTTTATTCAGTATATCTTAATATATAATCTCTATAGTAGTAAAATTAGCCTCATTTAGAGTTTTATTGAGTTGATAATCCTGCTATTTTAATTTCCTAATTTATAGATCGAGCTAAATTTAATTAAGAAAGCACGAAACACAAAGGCTTGAAAATCTTGTATATCTAAAAAATTAGGAACACAATTTATATATAAATATATACAATTATTTATAAATAAATTGATATCATTTTTAAATATCCTTATGAAAGCACTTAATCTTAAAATAGCAAAAATATCAACCCGATATAACTCAAAATAAGGTTATACTTCGCCTAGTATAGAGATAAAAAGCTAAAGGATTCTAAAATAGAACTATCGTAATATTTGTAAAGACCAAAAAGGCAAAAAGTAATAATAAGGTAATATTTTTTCTAGGAAATGGATTGAAATGAAAAGATTTTTAAAATATGGGAAACGGCATATCGAAAGACTGATTTGACTTTGCAATGGAAAGTTGTGGGACTAAATCGAAGAAATTAAAGTTTTGAAACTAGATTTAACATTTAGGAATAGTTCGAGAACTAAATTGAACAAATTAAAAGTTTAATGATGACATTGCACATTGTATCAAAATTTAAGCACTAGTAGTAGTATTGTTTTCCCTTTAAATAAAGAAACAGAGAAAAAATTTCCAAATCCTGTGGAACAACTGTTCAATTGGAGGCCATAAATGCTAAAGAAACCTTGAAAGCGATTTGATGAATTAAATTGCATGGGCCAAAGGTGCAAACTTTACTTGGTTTTGCGGATGTTGTCGGCTCATACAGGACCAGAAGCTCCTGATGATGCTTTGGATTCGTGCTTTTCATAGTAGTTTCTTGGATTGCTTGGGATCCCCCTCCCCCCCTTTTCGCCTGTCGCCTTAAATCAGGGTCGACCAAAAAATGACAAAAGAACATAAATGAAAAACCTCCAAATAACACCAAAACATATATATATATATATATATATGTGTGTGTGCGCGCGCGCGCGCTTGCGCATATGTTATATGTCACAAAGAAAGTTTTCAACTTCCCGAACAATAATATAAATATGAGATAAGTTCACTGAAAGTTCTAAAACTTGTCACAGAAGTGTAATTGAGTCATAAATCTTTCAAAAATGCTATTAAATTCTAAAATTTGTCGTGAAAATTTAACCTGAGTTCTAAAACTTTTAAAAAGCGCAATCAAATTCTAAAAATTGTCAAGAAAGTGTAATCGAGCTTTAAAATTTTCAAAGAGTGCAATGAATAGAAGGACTTTATTGGACCAATTTGACAAGTCATAGGACTTGACTACACAATTTGAAAGTTTTATAACTCAATTGCGCTTTCATGACAAGTTTAGGATTTAATGGCATTTTTTGAAAATTTTAAGACTTAATTGCACTTTCGTGATAAGTTTTAAGGCTTCCAATGCACTTATCCCTATAAATATTAATACAAACTTAGTGTATGAAAAAAATTTATGTCTTATGAAATGACTAAATCTTCGAGAATTAGAACATTCCTATGAAGGAGAATATAAGAAATTGTGAAATGAGAGACTTATAGAGGATATAATTTTTTTGGGCCGGTATAGAAAATAGAATTTAGAGGGAGAAGGGAGAGCTTTGTTGCGAGGTTCATAGAGGGAGATAGTTGGGATCGTTGGAAAAGTTTATTTACGACAAGATTTTTAATTAAGTAGATAAGAACTTTTTTTAAAGGGGCCGCATGTAATTTCTTAAGAGAAATTCATTGGTGAAAACTACATTCTAATTTTTTTTTAATTTTTAGTAAATTAGATAAACAAGAGCGCTTACTTGTGTTAAAAAAGGGGAAAGAAAGTAGTTGGATGTTTATTTTTTAGTCGAAAATTAATTTGAAGTAAATATAGCACTAGTATACCTATTTGAGATTTTTGGTAGTATTAATCCTTAAAAGAAATACCTTTATAACAATGCAACCCAATAGACTATAACCATAGATATATAGAGAGAGAGATAGTCTACATAATTTCTAGTTCTACAAGCCACCTTTTTAATCATTGTTTAGCAAAATTTAATTTTATCATGAAACCTCGGACATGAAAATTTATGTGTATTTAGTGAGATAAGTCATGCCGAAAATGCAAACACCCAAGTTGTCAAGAGAAAATTAGTATGTCAATAAATGTACTTGTTGTGGCTGAGAAGTACAAATGGGGGTTGACGAGCATGCCTTCAATGAATTGGAGAGGTTTACGAATGCCAAAGCCATATGTTAGGACTCGTATTATCTACCGACTTGGATGATGCTGAAAATTTTCACTCTAGCTTTATTGAATATCATTCTCAAAGTACGTAATTTCATTAGGTTGTCTCGCCCCCTTAAAATCGAAAAAAGAACAAAAAAAATGATATAATGAGGCTAGTTTTCGATTTTGTTTTGAGTTAGTATTAGTTCTAACTGAAAGAATATCCTAAAATTGAGTTCCAGATACAAACTCGAATGGGATTTAAAATCTTGGTAAGAGGGTATCGAGGACACTGACCTGCAACTTACAAGTAGAAAGCAAATACAGAAACAATGACTTGGGTCTTGTTACGTTACTTGAGTGGTGTCGATTTTATTTGTGTTTATTTCTTTTTACATACATAAGTGCATTATGGTCATGTACAGTTTATATAAATACATTACGATAGGTCTAGGGTAAAGTGTACACAAAACCGAGAGCCCCTTGATGACTTTGACGATTTGTTCCTTCCTCTCTTCTCCTCCTCCTCTGAGTTTCTCCTCTCTTCCTTCTTCTCCCTTGGCCACTTACCGCAGGTTCTCCTCTCTTCTCTAATCAGCATTGTGACAGATCTAAAGCGTGGTCATCAAATTTAGAGCTTCATCCACTGACTTTTTAAACATGTTGACTTTGTGATCATGCGACTGGTGCATTGAAATAGGGGAAAAAAGAAATCTTCTATCGATTCATTGCTATCGTCACTACTATAATAATGATTCGAAATGCGCAAATAATTGGGCGTTTAGCAACTCAAGACAGGTGACCCTCATGTTGGCAAAATCTGCGCATAAATGCATATGATTGTCTTAAACTAGTTCAGTTCACAATATAAATATTAAGAAAGAACAGGGGTACACAAAAGCACTTGCATCCTTTCGACCGAAAAAAGAAAATCCTAAGAGTATTTGAACTCGTGGCTGTGTAGATACAAACAAGAGGAGTATATCAAGCGATGCGCAAACCCAAACCTCTAGTCTTCAACATACCTTGCAACTCCTCCTACAATAACCAGGGAGCTCAGGAGTTCCGACCATGTACTCAGGATTCTTGGTGCATTCCCCGAGTGCAGCCCATCTGTCGCAACTCTCGTTCGTGTCCGTGCAGTTCCCGCCTTCACCAATTATCTTGTCGAACGAGTCCACGTGAATCCACTTCGTTGCTGACCATTTCTCGCCTTCGATCACCGGACAACCCGCATGAAGGCTGTTCTGGTCGGGGACAGCATCCGGCGTGAGACTGAAGAAAAGAAGCGCATCGCCTTTTCTTGGTTTCACTATTTATTCACAGGGTTCAATCAGAGAGTAATGGAAGCACATTAACAGGCTGCTATTGCGACCATAAAATTCAGAAAAACCAATGACTAAAACAGTGGCTGACCTGCGATCCCTTTCTTTGCACATTCAGATAGATTGTCATCTGTGTTAGAAGCTCTACGACGAGGAGGATCCTATCAGATGAAGTATAATGTTACTATTTAATCAGTTCTTGAACAAAGTTCACCAGGAAAACAAAGCCCAAACGTGCATTATTGTGAATAAAACCATGGGTACTCTCCTAATAGACATGATGATGGTCTTCCTCATCATCCATATCTTTTTGGGTTGTAGTACTTTAACTCAACCAGCTTAATCAGTCCGTCAGACACATTCATGAATACTACATTGTGAAACCCACAGACAAATCTAGGGGATCCACATAGTCCTTTCTTCAACAGAAGACAAAGCCATTACTTGGGTCTGATACAACCATATGTTAAGGAAGACATGACTGCAAGTATATCAAAACATGCAGGATGTTTCTGAAAAGTCTGTAAATACTTCAGCCTCTGGTTACTAACCTCTGCGTTGGGAAAAACTGTTTCACCGCCCTTCTCCACATCAGTAAGATACATTAGCACTGTCGCCAAGCGATGTCCACCTCGGGCAATATTGACCTTATCAGCAAAGTAATCATAGTGTGGATCGTATTTCTGTCCATGCTCATATCTCAGCACTTGAATGTCTTCTCCATTTTCTGAAGTTCAAGAGCACCAAATATAAGTTGTCTCACTCATCCACCAGAAGGAGAAATCAACATGAAATACCCATAATGTACAAAAACAACAACAATTATTATCCATCAATACCACCGGCCATGTTCTTCTACTTCATAACCAACATCTAAGATAATGACAAAGGACAATTCATCATCAGATGAGGTCACCACTATCATTAATCAGTACATATCTTTGATTGTAGAAAATTATGTTAAACTGAATAAACACTTGAAGGATTTCTGAAGACCTCGCATACCTTTCTAAAACCCAGAGACAACCATTAATAAAATCGTCATCTTCATTTAAGTCCATTTGTGTTTGTCTAAGCAACAGCACAGCATCATAGCTGACCACCTCACTCTTGAGTACCATTTGTAGTTATCATTGATGACAACAAATAACAACTTCTCAGTTTAGACAAAGGTTAAAGTAAGACCAGTGCTTTGATCATCAGTGTCAATGGGTATCACTTCAGCATCAATGCGAAAGCCAAACATTCTACCTACAAGTATCTCAGCTCAAGCCCGTGGTCTCAGTATCTGCTTTTCTTGCTATCTGCTCAGACATAACACTCGACCAGTACTTTCAATAAATTAACTTTCAAGGAAACTTCTTAAACAAAAAAATCACTAAATAAGCATCTCATAGGTCACGCACATGAGACCAAAGCTAGAACTGAACTTGCATTACCGTCATCCAAGGAAACTCTTTTATGACTTCCAGGCCAAATAACACTGGTACAGCTTGAAAGCATGTAGACCAATAAGCTATTTCCTCATATAAAGCATCTAGTTTTTTGTTTCCTCCCAGTACCACAAATCAAGCAAAATCAGAATACAACAATCAGCAATCACTTTTTGAGCAGCTTGTCGCTCAGCATCAAGTAAATTACACTGTAAAGCTTAAATTATGGCACATAGTACAGACTATATGAGTCAGAACTGAAAGATCAACAACAGATCCTTCTGGAAAGAAGAGAATCGAACAATGCTTAAGGATATAGTATACCTTTTGGGAGAAAGGCCCATGTTGAAATCTTCTCCTCTATCCCAGCGACAATAGGATCCTATAATAGACATACTGATTTAAAACAAGCATGATGAAGGACATGAAAAGCAAATTAGAAAAACTAGAAATGGATCTGAAGAAATAGTTTTCTCATTTATCTGTAAAATAATTCCCAAGTTTACAACAACGCGCAAATTTGAGTCTATTAGCAATTCAGGAGGAAGCAGAAGCCGGCAGGCAACCTTAGTTCTTTTGGCAGCTCTCTTCTATTGACATCTTGAATAAATGATACAATGTCCTGGTGCTAACATATACAGACGCAATTACAAACACATGACGTGCTGATACAAATAGCCATTCTTCCACCCACGCCCTAAAGCTAGACGGCAAATGTTCTGTGAACATGAATATATTTTTTGCCCCAACAGAGTAAGATTTGGCAAATTGATCGCACCTACTGCCTTTGTAAATAATTTACTTTAACTTACAAGGAATATAAATGAACAAGAATTTCAATAAGATGGGAATCACAACTCCAAGGAAGTTAGTCATTTTTTCTCTCCTCCCCTTCAGTACACCACGAATCGTACAACTGAAACTTAATTCCATGTATATAACGGCACATCATCATAAGCTTTAAGCGTAGAATTTCAAATAAAGATCCAGCAAACAATGAAGGGTAATGAAAACTAACTTTGGCCTTCGGAATAAACATCCCCGAGCTGGTACGAACTTCACTGAGCTTGCTCTTTCCCGACATATTATCCGCCACCGCAGATCTCTTTAACTCTGATTTCGCCTGTCCCACCATATCAAGCAACTTCAAATGAATACTCACAAGTCTCATCATATGAGAAAACATACATTGCACCGTCCTCTATCAGCATAACCCGTGATTGCTCGTTCGATTCAACAATTTGCGGGATCGAACTCAATCAACAAATCCGAGCAATCCGAACACCGATCGAGTTGCGGTAACGAAGGGGCACTCACCAGAGAGACCAAGTGGTCGCATTCCAAGTCCGTGAGGAACCCTTCGTACACGAACGCTCTGCGGAAAAACACCATCAAGTTCGATCTTTGACCAGACAAAAGTGATGTCGCGACCGAGCAGCGAACTGGGTGTGCTTCAGAAATCGAAATTAAGAAAGAAAGAGAAGGGACCTGGGTTTCCATGAGACCTGCTTGACCTTCGCGGGGGAGATGATGGAGCTGGCAGAAGCAGCGTCCGCGCTCGGGCAGTGGACGAGGATCGAGCAGATCGAGAGCAGCAAGAGGGATCGCAGGAACGAAGCTACGAACATGGTGCTGCGTTCGAGATTTGGGGATCTTGCGGGAAGAGAGATATGGAGGCAAGCAAACAAATAAAAATGTCAACTTTCTTTCTGGGAAAAGCGTTGATTTTTCCGTTTGTCCTCGGTTCTTTAACTGTCCATCGACCGACCCATGATACATCCATGGGACTTGTAATTACTTTCGTATGCAGACACGTCGTTTTTCTGACAAGCCGATAGATTTTTTCTACTTCCCCAAAATTTGTCTTTCTGGCAGAGTGAAAAGAGCAACCTGCGGCTGTGGAGTACGACGTCGTCTGGTATTGAGCCGCTTTGGACAACGTACCCATAAGCCATGACGGACGGTTGCGCGAACATCAGGTTGACATTCATCGGCAAAAGATTTTCACTTTTTCGCTAATGAGAGGCGTGGTCCGCTTAGAGAACTCCTACTAATCGGATGCGAAATGACTGCGTGGTCATCTGGGTATGAAGCCCAAAGGCTCCCGGAGCGGCCTCGAGGAGGTTGTCCTTGTCGAGGCTCGAATGTAATCGAGACGCGGGTAGTGTTTTGTCTTAAAATGGGCGTAATTAAGGCCATGTCACATTCCTAGAGTAACCTTCGATAGAAAAATTAATATGATTTAGCAGTAAATGAATGTTAATGACCACCGTACTGCAAGTAAACTTCGCTCCCCTCAGTTCAACCGTTTGCTTATGTTCTTCTTAAGCTCTAATGAAAGATTGATTGCAGTATTACTTGCGCAGTTAAGTGATTACAAACCAAAATTCATCCCTCAATAGTATCCTTTCGACCTCGTGTACTTTGATCTTTTAGAACTCTGCCTCATTTGTTGCATCCGAAACTTTTGCGGTTATGATTGCACGCAATCTGGTTGAGAACTTGAATATATACCAGTCGAAGCAATACGAGTTACATTTGGATTAACGTATCTCCTTTACGAGTCATGGTTACAAAAAGACAAGCTACTCGGTTCGGCATTCCTTAGTTAAGCCCTGGACAATCTCCATGTAGCGATCCAGATCGTTTAGGTACTTGGTCGCGTTGTACTCCTCCGCGGCGTACAGCTCCTCGGAGTACGTTCTTTGCAGTGAAGGCCCCTGGTGTTGTTCTCTTGCGAGCTCCAAACTGCGCTGTTCGCCTTTCAAAAGGCTTACGACCTGTAAAACACGAATCCAGTCATGTCTATTAGGTTCTAGGACTACTAGGATGAGAGTTCATAGAGGAGCATGCTTAGAGACTATTCTAGGAAAAATGACATGCCTGGCTCATTTGGGGTCTATGGATCGAAGACTGATGGGTACATAAAGAGGCTGCCAAGATCAAACGGTCCATCTGTTCCGAGTCGTAGGCGCCGGCAAGAGATGGATCCACGACCTCCTTCATGCGGTTATCAGAAAGCAGAGGCTTGGCCTAGGGCAATGTGCAGGTAAAAATAGATGGTGTGAATTTAAACATCAACTTAGTACTTCTGATATTTTGGTGGTACTCGATCGAGATTGTTTTGTGAGGAATGAACACAAAAAACATACCCACATGACGAGGCTTTTCTGCGAACTATCCAAAGCTTTCTGTCCCGTGATGAGCTCCAGTAACAGTACACCGTATGCATACACATCTGTTTTCTCATCGACAATCCCGTGCATGAAGTACTCGGGAGGAAGGTATCTGTAATCGCGTTTTGCAACAACAGATTAATTGGGGCGGAAGCGGAAATATAAAATTGTGCAGAATTTTGCGGTAATGAGAAGGTAAACTGAAGTTGTGGATCACGAACCCGAATGTGCCTTCAATTTGCGATACAGTGTGATGAGACCATTGCTCTGGCAGCCACTTTGCAAGCCCGAAATCAGATATCTACACGAAAAATAGAATTCAGGAAAAGAATTGTGTAAGTCTGGATTAAACATGTCCTAATCTAAGTAGTACAAGCACATTTCTCTCTCATTTTTGTTTGCAAATTTTGACAGATTGTGCACCCAAATGATTAGCACATACTAGGAAGGCCAAGAGACGGTATTCTGTTCCAGATTTGAACTTCCGAAGATACTTTAGGTAATTCATCAGAAAAGTACAGCTAAGAAGTGCATGTATATCTCAGTGATTCGCTACCTGGGGCTCGAAATCCTCGGAGAGCAATATATTAGCGGCCTTCACATCTTTGTGAATAATCCTCCTCTGACACTCCTCATGAAGATACAATAGTCCTTCGGCAGTTCCTAAAGCGACCTTGTACCTGATACCCCAGTCCAGTTTCTCCCCAGAGCCTGCAAGTATGTACCAGACCAATCCTCATTCCAATTCGTCCGCGTAACTCCAACCGAAAAGTATGAAATATCCGAGAAACTCTTAAGCATGAAAACCCAACCGTATAATAGAGACGCGAGGCTCCCGTGAGGAGACAGATGGAGAATCAAGTGCATTCCCCCTTCGACTCCATATCCGATCAATTTGGCGATGTTCGGATGGTCCACATGTACTATGATTCCCAGCTCAGATAAGAAATCTGCTGTCATCTCCTCCGGCAATCCCCTCGTCAACCGTTTGATCGCAACGATCTCCCCACCCGGCAGTACACCCTTGTAAACTTCAGCACATCCTCCTTCCCCAATTAGATTATCTGCCACAAAAATATACATAAGAAGTACATTGACAGCATGTCCTTCACATCTGACAGATACCGAGTATCCAGTGAAATGGAAAGTCACAAACCACGACTGAAGTTGTCGGTAGCATCTTGGAGCTCCAAGAGCGTAAAATTCCTCCAGGACGGTTTGAAATAGCTCAGCTCGCCGAGCTCGGTGTCCAGGCTGGCATGGAACGCTGGCACCATGTCTTCTCTTATCCTCCTGCTCTTCCTCCTAGTGAGCTTGGGGACGCTCTTCAGAGGAAACGTGTGGAAGCGCACGGTGGATCCCTTCTTCAGCGAACGGAGGAAACCCCGCCACCTATTGCTAGAGGCTTTTGAGTATGACTGGCATTCGGAACTTGAGGTGCTGGCAGGGGAAGTAACATCGAGTTCTACGCTGCTCTGGCCATCCTCGAAAACTCCTCGGGGGGAAGAATCATCCACCCTCCCCTCCATCTCCAAAGATCTTAAGTCTAGCACGTACACAGATCAAAGCATTATCACACACCCATCAGGATTAATTACAAACAAACTCATGATGTGAAGTGAGGACGAAAGATCTAGAATCTACCATGGGAGGATATAGAGTCGGAGAAACCGGCCCGGAATTTCTTGCCTTTAACACGAAGCCTTTCTCCTTCTTCCTCCTCTTCTTCTTTCTGTTCTTCTTGAATTTCTTTGGCATTGATAACACGACCATTGCTGGCAAATTTAAAGCCAACAATGAAAATGACAGTAAACAATAGGATATGTGACAAATTGAGATTAAAGTAGTCAAGAACAAGCCCAAGTAACCCATGATGGCCAGTCCCAACAAACACTATATGCGCCCTGGGTGGAAGGATATAGGAAGCGTTCAAAGAAATTTTTCCTAAAAGATATCTACAGTAAGAATATGTCAATGATTCGATTCAAAAGATCAACAAGTTAAAGGACCACCTAGAGATCTTTTAGGTAGGAGGAGGACAATAAGAAATTGCGGGAAACAAGAAAGGCCTAGGCAATGATTAAGCAGATTTCTTAACAATTTGCCAGTTTTTGTTCCCTAAAGCTTGAATGTTAAGCATGTTTTGGAAGAAGCTGAACTTTGATTAAGTTAAGAAGAAATCCCACGGGGGAGTTTATAAAAATAATTAAAGATTCTGCCCTCTTCTGCAATATACGCACTAGTACTCTTATACAAACGTGAGAAACATGAGGATTTTTCACAGAGCCAACAAAAAAACCAAGGAAAAAAAATCAATGGCAAACACACAAGTTGCTTGAACATGAAGACAAATGAGAGCACTAAATCATGTGAATCCACACACACCCAACTGAGGCAAGAATCAGAGCTCTAAGGGGAGCTAAAAAACCTGGAGGAAACAACATTTTCCTGGACATCTTCCATGAGCCAGAGGTGGTGACAAAAACCTCAGGTTCCCCAACAGAAACCAGAAGAGGAAGAGACAGAGAATTCGGGCTGTGAACTTGTCAGATGGAGACACGAGAGAGGGGGAGGGGTGTCAAAATAACGGCTGGCATGATTTGTCTCTTCCTTGTCCAATGTCCATTGACAGTTGCACCTTTTCCATCCCTCAAAAATCGGTTCTTGATCCATCCAGAAATACCATTCTTGAAAGAAAAAAAGAGCTCATTAGATTATTATGCGCATCATCCAATAATGTGCGAACAGCATCTGAGATGGGAGACAGAGATTGAGTGCATATCTGTCAAGATTTCCCTCACGGAGCAAGGGATGTTCGTGCTCAGAGAAAATATTATAGTTTCCACAATTGGGTGCTCGACACGTGGACACAGCCAAATTCTTTGGCCGACAAAAGGAGGGACGAATTTTAATATTATGGGGAAAAATCAAGGAGGTTATTCTCCGTGCTAAAAAGATTCGCTAAAATTTGAAACCCGATAAAATCATTTTTTTTTATTGGGTCTCGGAGATTTTAACCAAAAAAGTTCCTACTTTTTGCCTGTGTATCTTTTTACGTTTTCTCATGAGCATTTTTCATCCATGCCAATGGAGGCGTCCGTATGTTTTATTTACATCAGAGTTTGGCGTCGTTCGATGATCATGTCAATTGAATTTGGTCGGATTTTAGTATCAAAAACACTTAATTAGAAAATTTGTATAAGTAAAAAGAATTGATTAGACAAATTAAACATACAACGACTTAATTATAAAGAAAAACTTGAAAGTACATTTTCAAAAAAATGGAGAAGAGGAAATCCTTGTGGGTTGCAAAAGCAAATCTTAAAGAACAAAATTCATAATTTTCTTGATTAATTATTAATACCTTATAATTCGCATGTCATTACCACCCGAACCTAAGAATCTCAAGCCACTTGTTTTAGGGTATATCTCAATCAGTCCTAAACTTATTATATATATGCCAATTTAGTCATAAACTTTCTAATCTTGTCAATTTAGTCCTAAATATTTGTGCGAAATTTGATTGTGATCCTTTCAGTCAATTTTCATAAAAAATGACAATCCAGTTAGACAGTTATCATCAGCCATCTTACGTGGCACACCATTACTCCAACAATTCCAAACCAAAATTGGTCAAAAGAACTATATTGAAATCTCGCTCAAAGATTTAAAACTAAATTGGCAAAATAAAAAAGTTTAGAACTACATTGATATCTGTACACTAGGTTTAAGATTGATTGGACAATTCCCCCACTTGTTTTAAGTTAGAGGAAGCTACCCATTACTCTTTTTACCCATCAAATGAAAAAAATTTCCTTATTTTTGTTGCTAATTAGTATTATTTTTCCCTATTCTGGGTGGCACGTTTTCATGTTGATCAATGATTTAAATTTTGCCACCTCTTCCCTCGATAAATACGTAATATAGACATTAACCTCTACATGCTTTTAAAAGATTTGGGATAAGTACATTGGAAATCCTAAAACTTATCGCGAAAATGCAATCGAATCCTAAAACTTTCAAAAAGTACAATTAAGTTCTAAAATTTGTCATGAAAATGCAATTGAGTTTTAAAACTTTCGAAAAATGCAATTAAGTCCTATAACTTGTCAAATTGATCCAATCAAGTCCTTCAGTTAATAATACTTTTTGAAATTTTTAAGACTCTATTATACTTTCGTAACAAATTTTAGGACTTATTTCGATTGGATTACACTTTTGTGACAAGTTTAGGACTTGATTACATTTTTTGAAAGTTTCATGACTCAATTATACTTTTGTGATAAATTTTAGGTCTTCCATTGTACTTATCCCAATTTTGAAGTGTGCTATTCTTAGCTGAAGTTAAATTCCAAGACCACAAACAAATGAAGGTGTTTGGTTGAATCCAAACCAATGTTATTGTAGGACCAAAACCTTGTCTCAGAGCATGACGAGTTTAAATTGATTCAACGTGCACAATAAAAGTGATGAGAAATATTTTTGAAAGTTGTACTGGGTCATTAAGGCATTTGGTAGACGGTTAACACAATTAATCAGTGTGGCGAGTCAACAATCTCTCGAATACATTATAGAGATCCTTATTATCTTAACCAAAAATCTCAGCAGCATTCTATGGAGTCTCTTGCTTTACAAGATGAAGAAAAAGAAACGAAACCATTAGCAGCAACTAAATAAATTGGGCTTGCACGAGAGAGTATACGATAATCGGCTCGTATCATGTAACCAAAAGAATCGTGAGAATTCAATCCTTCAACCTCTCTCTCTTCTTTGTTATGTGTTGAATAACAACTCATATGCAAGACTTTCTTCAATCAACACAAATAGGTAAATTACGTAAATATAAGGAAACTTGTGATAGAAAATACATAATTTTTCACTATGGTGATGGCGCTTGTGGTAGTAGTTGAGTGCCAGACGATGTTGCTTATATAAATAGTTATGAGACATCGAAGTGAATAGAAAACCTAAAGTCCAATGAAAAAAGTGTAAACATCAACAACAAAGGCAAATAGTATAAAGAGAGAATGCGTTTTGAGGGCCATATTATTTTGCATTCCTAATCGAATGAAACTTACTCTAATAAAATTTTCAATTGTTACGTTATAGCCATGGACACAATTCACAATTATTATTAGTTAAAATGGCATGTGGATGATATGCACATTCACAAACTTCAATCAAGATCAAATATTCATTAACTAATGATGAAGGAAAATATGATATGTGTGACTGCACTGTTAGGCTTGAGAAACAGATGTAACGCATTTCTTAGCATATAATTAGAATTTTTTTTAAAAATAATATATATATTCGCATTCAAATAATACTAAATTTTAACTGGCATAATTTTTCCATTCGACTTTCTATTGACTCGATTTTTGTACTTACGAAATGCTCATGAGCCGACTGTTTTAAAAAATGGTTCGATTTAAAAAAAAAAGTGTTGAGATCACAAATGTTCTGAAATCAAACCGAATTGCAATGTCCATTCATAGGGCACTTGTCACGAAGAGAGAGAAAGTGAAAGGTGTTAAAATAACGGCCGGCATCATTTGTTTAGTTGTTCAACGTGTCCGATGTAGCACTTTTTTCCATCCCTCAAATATTGGTTCTGTTCCAACCAGTCACTAGAAATACTGGTCTTGAAAAAGCTCATCATCAATCCGAGATTACATGGGATCATATAATATTATGCGAACGGTATGTGAGTTGGAAGAGAGACTGAGAAACAACCCTCTTTGGTCCTGGGAGAAAAATATTCTAATTTCCATAATTGGGTACTCGACCTGACACACCCAATTCTTCAGCTGACAAAATGCAGGATGAACTTTAATATTATGGGACAAAATGAAGGAATTATTCTCCTGCTAAAAAGATACGGTATGAACAGAAACCACAATTATTCTCCTGCTAGAACTGTCTCTCGCATCCAAAAGAGTATAAGGTTAATGGGAAACTTCTAATTCGTTCGGCAAGTACATCGTTTGGAATCTCGTGCATAGTCCGACAAAATTATTTTTCTCATGGTCTTTTCACAATTTTGGAGATTTCATGTAATTTCCAACGAGGGAAGGAACTCCGACCACCTGTGACTAGGAAAAAACAAAAAAATTGTACTTTTTGTCTAAGTATTTTTACATTTTCTCTTAAGTATCTACCCTTTTGATTTATCTTGCTACTTTCGTAATTGTTGTAATCAATTATCTTGGATGCCAAATCTAATCAAATCTAATTAGCATGATCGCAGGGCAACGTCATGGTGCAATGTGAATAGAGTTCTTATGCGAATGTCCATGTCGGCATCCGAAATTTTATTCATGTCATACTTGGACGTTGTCTACATTAGGTATATTTTCTATCCACGTCGATGCAGGCTTCCGTATATTTTATTTAAATTATAGTTTGGCATCGTTCAAAGACCATGTCAACTTAATTTAGCTGGACTTTGGTATCGAAACGACTTAATTAGAAAATTTGTGTAAGTAAAAAGAATTAATTGAACAAATTAAATAGACAAGGACTTAATTGAAATAAAAAAGCTTGAAAGAATAAGAATAAAAAAAAATTTCAAAAGAAAATGGAAAAGGAGGAACTCGCAAGACAATCACCCTTCAACAAAACTCCTACCAAAAAGCCATCCTTATGGGTTGCAAAAGCCAATCTTGAAGGAGAAAATTCATGATTTTTTTAATTAAAAATTAATACTTTAAAGTTCGCATCCTCTTACCACCCGAACATAAGAATCTCAAGCCACTTGTTTTAGGAAATATTATTCGATCAATCCTAAACTTATTTTACATATGCCAATTTAATCCTAAACTTTTCAATTTTATCAACTTAGTCCTAAATCTTTGTGCGAAATTTCAATGTTATCATTCTAATTAATTTTCATTAAAAATAACAATCCAATTATCATCGGCCGTCCTACGTGGCATACCATTACTTCATCAATTTTCAACGAAAATTTGCCAGATAAACTACATTGAAATTTAGCACAAAATTTTATGACTAAATTGATAATATTAAAAAGTTTAAGACTTAAATCAATATACGTGCATTTAAAATTAGTTGGACATTTCTCACCCATTAATCTTTTTGCCCATCAAATAATAATATTTTCCTTATGTTTTATTAGTTAATTGGATTTGTTTTCCCTTATCATGGTAGCTCGTTTTCCCTTTAATGATGCTGATCAATGAAGGATTTAAATTTTGCCTCCTCTTCCCTCGACATATGAGTAATATAGACATTAACCCTTACATGCTTTTAAAAGAATTTTAAGTGCGCTATCTTTAACAGCAGTCAATCTCCAAGACCACAGACAAAAGCACAATTCACCCCAAATGAGGATGGTTGGTTGAATCCAAACCAATGTCAATGCAGGACCAAAACCTCGTCTCTCCGACCATGACGAGTTTAAATTTATTCGACTTGTACAATTAAAGTGATGAAAATTATTTTTTACAGACAGTACCGCATCATTAAGGCATTTGTTCGCCGGTTGATGTAGTTAACCAGAATGGCGAGTCAAGAATCTCTCGAATAAATCATAGAGATCCTTATTATCTGAACCAAAGATCTCTGCAGCATTCCGTAGAGTCTCCTGTGTTACAAGATGAAGGAAAAGAAACGAAACCATTAGCAGCAACTAATTAAATTAAGAGAGAGGGGCAGAGAGAGACAGAGTGCGTACTTCTTTTGATTGCTTGTGAGAATTCAATTCCTTAACATTTGTCAAAAAAGCAGCAAACTGCTCATATGGTAATCGGGTCCTGTCATGTAACCAAAAGAATTGTGAGAATTCAAACCTTCAACCTCACCTCTCTCTCTATTATGTGTATCATGAGAAATTATGTGTATGCACAACAGATCGTGCTGGCACCTTTATTTTGTGCTTTCAAGAATGCCTGAAATTTTTATGAATGAATTGCGCTCAATAATGCTCAAAAGCCCTAACACATGTAAGAATTCCTATTTGTCGAAAGTACAACACAACAGGAAAGTTAGAAACCCATCCATAGCAAGTACAAATTCAAATCCTCACCTCACTTGCCGTAGGAACTCTTTCCCGTCGACTCGAGTTATTCCTGAAACAGTCAGACAAATAAGTAGATGAGGATAAAAAAAGAGCATATGACATGCAGATCAAGAAAAGAAAATTTCCCCTAACATAAACTGTCGCCATGCATTTTTCTTTGAACTCTGATGACGTCAAAGATTTGAGGTCATGCATCATACTCACCTGTTTGAGATCCTGTCTCGAAGCCTGCTACAGAACCATGGCTGATTGAGGGCAACGAAGAGCACGCGGAGGACCTGTCATCAAACTTGTCTCGTGGAGTTGCAAATGACATGGACTGCCGTCTTGGAGACACTGCCTTAGAAACTCTTGAAGGAGATCCAGATAGTGATAAACTTAGCGGAGATCCAAGAGGAGTGAGCCGAGGAGTGCTAGTTTGCGAACTGAATATCAGGCCATGCGATATCCCTGGTCTCGAGTCTATACACAAGCAAATTTAGAGTGATGATATTTTTCTTTTGTGATCAGGGTACTTAACTAAATAAAATCAGTACTTTTTAATGGGGAAGAGTCTTTCCCACTAATTGACTAAACAATATTGATCTTCTCTAAAGAGATTAACACGTACTCAGTATCATTTCCTCCAAAAGATTTAGCACCATTTAGAAACATTGATACTTTTCACAGTATAAATCTATCTTTTTAACAAGAAAAGCACAGCTTGCCTAATTTTGAAATGGTATTGAGTTAAATAAATATACTCTCCAAAAATCAAAAGAGCAACACACCTTCTGTTTCAGGATCCTCTACTGATGAGTTTCCCATTTCTGATAACCGGCTCTGAACCGACGATGATCTTGAAGGAGGCAGGGAGCCATCATCTTCTGAAACAATCAACAAACGCATCGAAGCAGCAACATATACATAAGCTCAGTGGCATGTTATCACCGGCCACGACATCATAAAGCATGTAATGCCTAAATGGGAGCTTCCAAGCATGCTGCACCTGTTTGCCATTAACCATGGAGGATTTTTCTAAACCATCAGCAGACCTGATTCTTATATATTTTTCCCTGGTCATGTTCTATTAGTTGTTTTATAAAGCTGTTTCGGCAATTTCGCAAAAAGAACATGGCAAAGAAGATTATCATTCAGGAGATCAGAGTAGGACAAGGCAAGGTTGCACCAACTTCAAGAATAATTTCTTTGCTTGCATTAGAAACTCATCGGGTAAACCATGTTTAACTATTTCCAAGGGCATCACACTGAAGCTATATAATCAATCTGAAGGACATGGTGCGAAAAGACCATACCACTTAGCGTTGGCCTGGCAATGATTTGCGGTGTTCCTGCCTGTGGTAGATAATTCGTACGGAGTCAAACGAAAAGACAGTATTTTAGCTAATAAGCAAACTAACATCTTAGGCAATAGAAAGAAAATTTAGATGCTGAATGCAAAAATAACTCCAGGCTAACTCACTCACAAAGCTTTCATCATCCTCTCGAAGGGACTGCATAAGCGTCCTCCGGAATACCTCCAACTGCATAAACCAAAAGTTAAATTAAATCGAGCACATTCCCCCCACCATTAGGAATTGCCAAACAAAGTTTCACCGTAACGAAGCATGTCTCTGCAAATATACACTTTCTAAACTACTTTCTATGCGGAAGAAGACTGAGTACAGGAACATTTTATCACCTCCCAAGAACTAATATCTTATAATCCCCATACAACTTATAGAGCAATCACATATCAGTCATATCTCAGAGAACCAAAGGACTACATTCTCAATGAAAACTGTGGAAACAACTAAGCACTTCCACGAAGTGCCACATTCAAAGTGTCTTCCCACAACCGCGGGGGGTTTATTGTTGCTGTTGAAAGTAGACACAATCAACCGAACCATCTCGGAAATAGTACAATCTAAGAATACCCCGTTAACGTGCTTAGCGGGGAGCCCGGATTCTAAAATCACGATGCAAGCGGAGAGAATTTCAGGGCTGGGGATTAGTAACAGCATACTAGTATTGGATTTTCATATGCCGGATTGTCATCGCGCATCATGCCAACCGATGTATTATTCCTTTTGTTCCGAAATACTTCATACACAACAATTAATGGGAAAAAAGAATGAAAAGTCCTAATGGGGACACTGACATTGTTCATTCCCATTCAAACTTCTTATGAGCTAACATTCTCTTGTAAGGATCACCGCAAGGTTGTCTGTAGGCACCAAAAAACAGAACTCCTAGCCACTCGCTAAGAAAATCGAATTCTCAGAGCAAACACGAATCATCGGTCCGTTCCACGGAATCGCACGTAGAAACAGCGAATCACAACCAGTTCTAAACATCAAGAAAGAAGAAAGAAAAAGAAATGAACAAACCATCATGAACATGATTAGGCGTTATTCATTACCTTCGCAACATCTCTATTCAGCTGCTTCACAGTCTCCGACAGCGAAGCGTTCTCTCTCAGCAACTCCTCCTGCACCACCCCAAGATACAAAAAGTCAAACCTCCACCATTGTCAACGCGAATCACGCAGGCCGGTCGCCGAGATACGGGGCGAGCCGTAAGGGTGGGGGACGGGGACCTTCTCGCGGTCGGCTCGGGCGAGCCGATCGGCGGCGTGGGCGAGGGAGGCGTCGAGGGACTCGATCTGGGACCGGAGGTCGGCGGCGAGGCGGTCGCGGGCGGCGAGGTCGGCGCGGAGGGCGGACGACTCGGATTCGAGCTCGGAGACGCGGGCGGAGAGGGCGAGGGAGGTGATCTTGCGGGCCACGTCGAGCTGGTCGAAGGGATCGGAGGGCAGGACGCGTAACACGTCGTCGGGGAGATCGAAGGTCGGCGGCGCGGTCGCGTCCTTTGCTGGCATGGCTCGTCGTTTTCTGTGCTCCGCACGCTTGCTGTCTGAAAAACTTTTCTGTTTTCTTTTTTCTTACTTTAATTTGCCCTTGTGTTGTCTCTTCTGATTGATTAAGTGCTTCGGATTATACCAGAATAGACAAGCCAAGAATACCAAAAAGGGATCATGATATAAATGCTGCCTGAAATTTGGCTCGACATGTTGCATGTTTGTTGAAATTTTAATTTAATTTTTAAATTTTATTTTAATATGTAACGTGATTCCTAAATTTTTTATTTTTTCAATATGATCCATGAATTTTGAATATATGTTCAATTTAGTCCCTAAATTATATAAAAAAGTTCAATGTTGTCCAATCTAATTTAAGTTAGGAGACAATATTGAACATCTTCATATAATTTAGGAACTAAATCAAACATGTACCAAAAATTCATGGACCATATTGAACAATTTAAAAATTCAGCGATGATATTGTATATTGGGTTAAAATTGAAAGACAACATTGTATATTTGGTCAAAGTTTAGAGACTATCTGTATCATTTTCCTACAAAAAAAAAAGCTTTAAAATGAGAGAACACTAATTTCTTGCTAAAGTTTTCAGGGAGATTGCACTGACGGTCCTAAATGTGTGGCTCAATGTGAAATCAAGTCATAAATGTTTCGATTTGTATAATTAAAATTGCGACACATCTGGATTAATTCACTCGAGGTATTATCCGCTTTGGCTCGTCTCATACCGGTTCTCACGGTTTTTTATCCTTTGGCATGCAAGTAAGCAATTTCTCGGCATGTCACCCATTCCAATGCTAAGAGTTGCCATAACGTCAAAATGCGTCTCTTGTAAATTAATTCCGGTTTCAAATATATACAATCCAAGAATGTTTTCTCCCTATTCAGCGTGCAATTTGGTTCATTCACGCCCTTTCCGTCGTCCTGGAAGCACGTCAAGGGCCGCTCCTTGTTTTGGGCTCCTCTGGCCTTGCCGAACACTCTCGAGTCTCCACCCCTCATTGAACCGGGTTGTTACACGCATTCTTAACGTTTTTCATCAGAAGCAATTTAGACCTCCGGTCGAGCTCCCGCTGAATTCGACAACACAACACGGCTCGGAATCGGACGCGGCGGTCGCTCTGGTAATGACTGGGATACAGCAACATCGTACGACGGACGCGCTCCTTACAGATCTATCTCCACCGCTGTTTCGTCGTCAACCCGCTGGGGTCCCCATCGTGGCCACGTCGACTCGACGAACGCCACGGCATCATGCTTTTGGCCAAGTGGGCCCGAGCTCGTCGGTGTGGGCCAGCTGGGGCCCAGTCAGGGTCGATGAAAGGCCCGGCCTGGCCCGGCCCATTGGCGGGCTTCTCGGTCAAAACTACAGCTTTGACTGTGGAAAACGGGGCGGGGGGGATCGTTAGATGAGATGAGAGAGAGACTCCTGCGTCCACGTAACGACGGGAGGGATTAGCTTTCACGCGTCGAGACCAGCGAAGGTCAGTGGAACGAGGCAGGAGAGAGAAACTCTCCTTCCTCCCTCCCTCCCTTCCTCCCTTTTCTCTCTCTATAAATTCCGCCATTTCCGAGCTCGTCCAGCTCCATTCTAGCTCTCTCTCTCTCTCTCTCTAGGTATTGTTCATTTGTGCAGTTGATCTTGTCAGTTTGGTTGGAATCGAGGCCATGGCGACGGAGATCTTGCGGCCTCAGGACTGCTTGGCCCGGCGGATGGGAGCCTCCTCCCCGGCGGCGGCGGCTTACCCTCGCCGGAGGAGCTGCGGCTACGGGAGCTCCTGCTCCAATCCCAGGCCTAACAGGAAGCACCACCAGCACCAGCAGAGGAAGCCGGCCGCCTCGGAGAGATCGAGCCCCTACGAGGCCGGCGCGGCGAGTCCCGGCGGCGGCGGCCTCCTCGGGATGGGGAAGGTCACCATCCTCCGGCGAGGCGAGCCGCTGGACGCGGCGGCTAGGGACGACGAGGCCGGTTCGAAGAGGGGAGGAGGCGCTCCGGAGCCGGAGATGGCGCGGAAGCAGGTTGGCGCGCCGGAGCTGAGGTCCCCGGCGGCGGTGGGGGGGAAGGCCGTGGTCTACGCCGGATCGGCGTTCGCCGTGTCGCCGGAGCCGAGCTCGCTCCCGCTGCCGTCGTTTTCGAAGAAGAAGAAGAAGCAGGTGCTCCTGGTCGACGATTCGGCCACCAGAGACCTCCGGAGATTGCTCCGGCTCGATCTGCTGTGAGCAAAACCAGATCAGATCTAGGCGATTTACGTCCATTTCCATCGTCTTTTCTCGATGTTCTCGAGGTCTGGTCCTTTCCGTGAGTATTTTCAGAAACGGGGGGGGGGAGATCCAGAATTTCGAGAAACTAGGAGGAGCATTCGCTCAATACCTGCTTCTTTGGCTGTAAATACGTGGGCTCTTTTAGTGATTAGTAAGTAATAGTGGGTAACTTTTAAGGGTTCGAAGAAGGAAGAAAGAAAAAATGGTGGGGTCGATTTGTAATATTGGGAAATAGCGTAGACCGAGTCTGTGCCTCGTGGGGGGGTGTGAATGTGAAAGTTTCTCTCTTGTTGTCTGGGACGAATCTGTGAAAGAACTTCTTTTGCTGTCATGCCCCTGCTTTTTTGATTGAGGGGAAACTCAGACACGAGGTTCGAAGCATCCTCCCCGATCCGAGCCAACCTCGAACCTAACTTAGTTGCCCATGCCCGCATTTTTCGAGCTCGGCAAGCCTGGCTCGGTTAGGTTGGGCTCGGGCTACACGACTAAATGTGTCTGGTACATGATTAAGTCTAATCTAGATAGTGACTTCTCTGGGATCGAAAAGAGATTGTTGATGTAGATCAGTGATTAGTAACTTTAAAACGGTGGAACGTTCTTGATTGGTTGGATTAGTAAATGGGGTTAAGGACCTTCAATCCATGCTTACCTTTGCCTTTTGTCTATGTAGGTCTCACACTAGATTGGATTACCCACTAGATGAAGGTTAATGTTTGGTTCAGGAAGCTCCCTAGGGAAATTGTTTGGGGATTTCCCTACTTCATCGCGATAGGGGCCTTCACGGCCTATCTTATAACCAGGCAAGATTCCCGGATGCGTTCCTTATTCTAATGTGTTGGGCGTTAACTATACCTGCTATGTTTTACATTCTAGAGTTTGGATGGTTCCCTCTATGTTTAACATCCCAAGGTTCCAAAAAAGTCTCTTAAGGATTTGCTTAGATCCGATCACACTAAATTGATTACCCATTAGATGAAAGTTATCTGATCACACTAAATTGATTACCCATTAGATGAAAGTTAATGTTTGGTTCTGATAAAGTAGATGAATGGTTCGGTGAAATCTATGTGGTTGAGGCCTTGGACATGCACATGATGCTTGTGTGATTTGGGCCATCCGATTCTAATGAAACAGTGCTGATTTTTGGATTATCTTTTTTAAATTGACGGGTAAATTGGTTTTCAAATGATTTTTTTTCAAAACTTGACTTTTGATAAGGAAAGATGCTTAACAAATGAAATAAAAAATCAATTGTTACCGATAGTTTTCTTGTTTTTTTTTTTTTAAATTTGGAAAATTACTCGGATTTGAAAAAGATACTCATATACTTATTTATAAATGGTACATATATCAAAAGTCTTAAAACGTTCAAAAAGTTCGATCTAGACAATAAAACGTATTAAACCAGTGTAATTGAGTACTTCCATTAGCTTCATCTGATTTTTTCTATAACAAAGGCCTAAAGTTATTAGTAAAACTAAAGCCGTGGGTTTGAGGGACATGGGTAATATTTATGTGAAAGCCCGACATATGCCAAAAGGGGGAAGTTGAGAAGGCCTAACCTCTCGCAATTCCCAACATATAAATCAGATCACTTGTGCACACCCAAGTCATCTGGATTAGTTTCATCATATTTGAGTTGTAAAAAATGCTGACATGACATTTTTAAATAATTTCGAGGGCATGCAGCACACAGTACAAAAAAGAGTCGAAACATTTTATAAAAAGAGAAAAAAAAAGGGCTGAAAAATAATAAAAAAACAAAAACCATTGGAGAGAGAGAATAGGGTCGTCGACCGTCGACTATCCAGACCCTGATCACTCTCTTTGTGCAACGGTTTTTCTCTTTTAAATTGTCAGTTTTTTTCTTTTAATTTTTCAAGTCATTTTTGTGATGCGGCAATGTTGCGTCTCTTCAAAAATATTATTAAAAAAATATCATGTTGGTATTTCTATCACTCAAATTGGACAAAATTATGCACTCAATTGCACTAAATTGATAAGTTTTAGGACTTAATTGCATTATAACTCAATTACACTTATGCAATAAGTTTTTGGGTGAACTTTTGTCTTTGAAATCCTCGAAGACCATAAAAAGAACATAATTACCCATGAGGTTGTAATAAAGAATAAGGTCATCCATTTTTCACGAGATCAGGAGTTCAATATGTATTGTGAGCGAACATAATAGAAGTTGATGAAAATCAATGATTAGGAAAAAGACTACAAAAAACCTCAAACTATGTCACCTGTGACAAATTTATCATGAATTTTTTTTTGTGACACGAAAAACCTAAAATTATGCCATTTGTGACACATTTACCCCATAATACTTTCTCCTAGGGCATTTTCATCTTTTTCCTTTTTTTTTTTTTTTCCTTTCTTCTCTCTCTTCCCTCCGCCGGCTATGGCAGAGGGAAGCCGGCGAGGGCAGCCCTAACCTGGGGGAGTGAGGGCCGCCCTCGCCCGACTCAGGCGAGGGCTGCCCTCGCCGGCTTCCCTCCGCCATAGCCGGCGGAGGGAAGAGAGAGAAGAAAGGAAAAAGACAAAAATGCCATAGGAGAAAGTATTATGAGGTAAATGTGTTACAAATGGCATAATTTGGGGTTTTTTGTGTTACAAAAAAAAGTTCAGGGTAAATTTATTATAAGTAATATAATTTGAAGTTTTTGGTGGTCTTTTCCCCCAATGATTATGAATTGTTGATTAGACGATTTAGTTGAGTGTATACTTCTGTTTGGATTGAGGGAAATTGATGGTACTTTTTGTCAGTTTCTTATTTTTTTTTTTGGTCGGTGTCCACTATCTTAGTTGAACAGGCAATTTCATTTCATGCTTGAGTTAAAAGCTAATCCTTCCTCGGAGGCAATTAATTAATCTTTCGAAAATTTCAAATAGCCTCTCAAAACGGGAGCATTTTCTTGAAAGAATTTTCGGAGTAGACAGATTCAGTATCGCCCCTAGCTCGCCAGCCGATCAATTCTTCACCGACCGGCGAACACGTGCTTATAAATATAATTAAAAAGGTCAGTTATCTTCACGAAAGACCAGCTATCCGATCGTTTAAATTTCCGTGAAATGATTTGCGTATTTCAGAAACAAAATTTAACTTGATCTTTTCCATCATCCCCTTTACCTTTGACTTGATGCACGACCCCACATCGACTTACCACTTTACATCTTCAAATTTTAGAACCCTGCAAAACTCAGGGGGAGGTTAAAAAATTGGCGAGAGCTTTTTCAAAGAAAATCGGTCAATTTTAGTCCAAATCAAAAGTTTCGTGGCAAAGTAAAATAAAAAACGGAAATTTCGAAAGCAAGAAATACAAAGTGGTATGTGCGGGAGAGTTTTGGGCGAATGATTTTGCATATAGGCATAGGGCTTTGATTCCCTGATCTTTCGCTCAATGTAATTGTTATTTGACACACTTTATTCTAAATTGGATTTTAACATAGAGCCCCAGCATCCTAACCTAGGCTCGTCCACCGCTGTCGCCCCTACCAACTCGTCGACCCTCCTGTCGTGCTACCTTCGACGACCCTCAGCTCGAGGCGAGACAGATCTCGCTTGGGTGAAGCCTGCCGACGTCGAGCGACCTCGACGAAACTTGCCGGCGTCGTGCAACCCTTGGCAAGCGTTGAACATAGGCCGGTGAGCTAGATCTAAAGCCACGATCGTCTCTGTCTAAGAGAGACAACGAACATTATCTAGAAAAATAGCAAGGGTAAAATAGGAACATGGAAATATTAACGGGGGCAAGATTGGAAGACAAAAGATCATTAAATCTCTAAATTAGCACTTTTCGTAATGCCGAAAGCCAAAATTAGTCCCAAGTTGCCTTCAACTTTGAACATTTTCAAACCTCAACTTTGCACTAAAGGTCCTTAGATGCCCAAAACTCACTGAAAATGCTCTACACGAAATGCAGCCAAAAGCTGGGAAGTTTCCTCGTTCCTGAACTAATAATAGACCAAATTATCAAGAGTAGTGTTGGAGCCTTGCGTGTGCTAAAAACAGTAGTAAATGGGGTTACTTGCGTTTATACCTCTTTTTCGGGTTTATTGGGATTGTCGTTAAAAGCAATAGGTCGAAATCCAACTGATGACCAAATAAAGATTTTACCCGATTTGAATTAGGATCTGAATTTTTTATTTAATTAATGTGAGATTAAATTTTAGGGAAAACACCACCAAAAACCCCAAACTACGCCACTTGTGACAAATTTACTCTGAACTTTTTTTTGTGACACGAAAAACCCCAAACTATGCCACTTGTGACACATTTACCCCACAATATTTTGGCCAAAGGGCGTTTTTGTCTTTTTCCTTTTTCCATTTTTTTTTCTTTCTTCTCTCTTCCCTCCACCGGCCATGGTGGAGGGAAGAGAGAAGAAGAGAAAAAAGGAAAAAAAACAGTAAAAGGAAAACGACGAAAACGCCCTTGGGCCAAAGTATTGTGGGGTAAATATATCACAAGTGGCATAGTTTGGGATTTTTCGTATCACAAAAAAAGTTCAGGGTAAATTTGTCACAAGTGACGTAGTTTGAGGTTTTTGGTGGTGTTTTCCCTAAAAAATTTTATCCATTTTGGTGCTTTTCTAGTATTTAGCCATTGTTATATTTTAAGAACTTTCATCTTTGAAATACCCAAGGAACCATAAAAGAATATAAATTAACCGCTAAAATGGTTGACCTCATAGTGAATGGAACACCCGTTTTCCATGAGATCAAAACCTTTGTTCAACGAACAAAATTCAGGGGGAGGTTAGAAAATTGGTGTGAGAGTTGTTTTCCAAAGAAAAAGCGGTAACTTAGGTAGCAAATGATAACCATTCTGTTCCGGGATGAGTTCCTGAAACAGAAATAGATTTTTCTATTTCTGGTTTCAGGATGAGTTTCTGATAAAAGAAACCCGTTTGATAACGATAAAAAATTTCTATTTCTGGAACAGAAACCTGTTTGATAATAGCACAAAATTTCTATTTCCTGAAACAAAAACCCGTTTGATAAACAACACAAAATTCTATTTCCAGGAACAAAAATCCATTTTTTTTAAAAATGGAATAAAAATAATTAGAAAATCCAAAAAATTCCTAAAAATCTCAAAAAAATTCAAAAAATCCAAAAAAATAGAAAAATTCTAGAAAAATTCATCAAAATTTCCAAAAAATATAAAAAATCAGATTTTTCTAGAAAATAGGAAATTTGTTGAATTTTTTCAAAAAAAATCAAAAAATCAAAAATTTCAAAACTTCATAGAATGACTTAAAATACCTGTGGCCACTCACTTTTAGTGAAACTTAAATTTTTTTAAGTTCCCAAAAAAAATCAAAAATTCCAAAAATTTCAAAAATTCACAGAATAGTTTAGAATACATGTGGCCACCCACTTTGAGTGAAATTTAAATTTTTTAAGGTGCCTAAAAAAATTGAAAAACTCAAAAATTTCAAAACTTCACAGAATAGCTTAGAATACCTGTGGCCACCCACTTTGAGTGAAATTTTAATTTTGTGAGGTGAAAAAAAAGCAAAAATTTCAAAACTTCATAGAATGACTTAGAATATCTGTGGCCACCCACTTTGAGTGAAATTTAAATTTTTTTAGGTACCGAAAAAAAAAATAAAAACATAAAAAAATCAAAAATTTTAAAACTTCACAGAATGACTTAGAATGCCTCTAGCCACCCACTTTGAGTGCAATTTAATTTTTTTAGGTGCCCAAATGGTATTTTTTATTTTTAAATTTTTTTCGACACCTAAAAAAAATTAAATTTGACTCAAAGTGGATGGCCACATGTATTCAAAGCCATTCTGTGAAGTTTTGAAATTTTTAATTTTTTTCTTTTTTTCGGCACCTAAAAAATAAAATTTCATTCAAAGTTGGTGGCCACAGGTATTCTAAGCCATTCTGTGAAGTTTTGAAATTTTTGCTTTTTTGCTTATTTTTATTTTTTTCGGCACCTAAAAAAATTTAAATTTCGCTCAAAGTGGATGGTCACAGGTATTCTAAGCCATTATGTGAAGTTTTGAAATTTTAATTTTTTTAATTTTTTAATTTTTTTAGGCACCTAAAAAAATAAAATTTCGCTCAAAGTGGGTGGCCACAGGTATTTTAAGCCATTTGTGAAGTTTTGAAATTTTTACTTTTTTTCTTATTTTTATTTTTTTTGGCATCTAAAAAAAAATTAAATTTCGCTCAAAGTGGGTGGCAACAGGTATTCTAAGCCATTCTGTAAAGTTTTGAAACTTTTTATTTTTTTATTTTTTTCGACACATAAAAAAATTAAAATTTCACTCAAAGTGGATGGCTACAGGTATTCTAAGCTATTTTGTGAAGTTTTGAAATTTTTGAGTTTTTGAATTTTTTAATTTTTTTCGGCATCTAAAAAAAATTAAATTTCGCTTAAATTGGGTGGCCACATGTATTCTAAGACATTATGTGAAGTTTTTAAATTTTAGATTTTTTGATTATTTTTTATTTTTTTTGGCATCTAAAAAAAATTAAATTTCGCTCAAAGTGGGTGGCCATAGGTATTTTAAGCCATTTTGTGAAATTTTGAAATTTTTGATTTTTTGATTTTTTTATTTTTTTCGGCACCTAAAAAAATTTAAATTTCGCTCAAAGTGGTAGCCACAGATTTTAAACCATTATGTGAAGTTTTGAAATTTTTGATTTTTTGCTTTTTTTTTCCCACCTCAAAGATCGTGACTTCCAGATGAACATGTGTTTTGAAAAAAGAGTTTTCTCAGAAATGATTATCATTTTTGGTCTAGAAATAGAAAACCAACTTTTTTTTGGTTCTAATTTCTGGTTCAGAATCGGTTCTGGAACAAAAACTTGTCCCAGAAATAGAAAAATGAAATTACGTTAACAAACGGGTTTCTGGTCCAAAACTGATTCTGGGAACAAAAAACCAGTTCTGGACAGAACCAGAATGGTTATCATGCGGTACCTTAGTCTAAATCAAAAGTTTTGCAATAAAGTTGAAAATGCAGAATGGGAATTTTAAAAGCGACAAATGCAAATGGGTATGTATACGGGCGCACTTGGGAGATTTTTTTTTTCGTCGGAATGTTTCGGGGAGTTTTGGGAGAATGATTTTGCATTTAGACAAAGGACTTTGACTCCAAGATTATTTGCTCGATGCAAATGTTGTTCAATACACTTTTTTTTCTGAAGTGGATATCGACGTAGAGCCCCACCGTCCCAACTTAGGCTCGTTTGCCGCTATCACGCAACCCTCAACCCAAGGTGAGACAGATCTCACCAGGACGAAGCTTGCTGACGTCGAGCGACCCTGACAAAGCTTGCTGACATCAAGCGACCCTGACGAAGCTTGTCGGCGTTGCACGACCCTTGGCGAGTGTCGACCAGAGCCTGGCGAGCTAGATTTGGAGCCACTATTGTCTCCGTGTGAGAGAGATGATGAACATGAAAACATTAGTAGGGTAAGATTGGAAGAATTTTTATTTTTAAATCCCTCAAGTAGCATATTCGGAATGTCAAAAACCAAAATTAGTCCCAAGTTGCTTGGAACTTTGAGCATTGAACTATGAGATTTTCAAAGCTCAACTTTACACTAAAACGCTTATAAGATTGTGTTACTAAATGCCAAAATTTTGGCTCTGAGGACCTTTACAGCCCAAAACTCTTCCGAAATGCTACCCCAAATGCAACCAAAACCTAGGAAGTTTCCTGAACTAACGATAGACCAAAGTATCAAGAGTGGTCTTGGAGCCTAGCGTGTACTAAAAGTGTAGTTACTTACATTTATACCTCCTTTTTGGGTTTATTGGGATTGTCGCTAAAAGCAACAGATCGAAATCCAACAGATAAACAAATAAAGATGTTATTCAATTCGTATTTTCAAAATGGTTAATGTGAGATTGTATTCGATCCATTTAAGTGCTTTTCTAGTAATTAGCCATTGTTATTTTTCAAGAACTTTCATGTTTAAAATACCCACGGACTATAAAAAGGTTATAAATCAAGTGGTTGACCCAGTAGTGAACGGGTCACCCGTATTCCACGAGATCACGAGCTCGATTCATACCGTGAGCGAACGCGACATAGAATTGTAATTTGCATACACTAGACTGTGAGTCAAAATCCAAGTGAACGGTCGAAACATAGGATCGTTTGCATTTGGTGGTGTAGGAAATCAAACTTTGTGTTGTATGCCTCATCCACATAGGTATAAGCTTCTTTTTCCTCAACCACAAACTAATCATTAGGGTTTGGAAGATTGAAATTTTCCTTGAGCGGTCGGACGAAATATTAAACTCTTCAAAAAGGAGTCACCATATAATTAACAACGTCATCGGCCATTCCTTAAGATCATATAGATCATCATGAAACTCCACTTCAATGAGGAATAAGACGCTTATTTACTTAATCCAACTAGACAAACTATGATACATTTTACAAGAATCCAAACGAAACTCACGAGTATTGTCTCAAGGAAGCAACGCTATCCCATAACTTCACAAAGCGCTAGCCTCAAGTTACCTCTTTTCCCTTCTCTTTAAAAGGGTGAACTGTGAAATGAAAGCTAACCTCACGTACGAGCATATCCGTCCAAGCTCGAAGCCTCGGATTGGAAATGAAGGCCATCTCTCTCTCCAATAGCAAAGACAAAACCTTTCTCCGAAGCTCCCCTCTTTCGTGTTACGTGGAAGCAACCCACCCTCTTCCCTCCCCCTTCGGATACTATAAATAGCCCCCGACACCAAGGAAGCTTCGCATCACACCACAAAACACTTAGAATCTTTCAGTCCCTCTTCACTCCACCATCACCCGTTCTGCAAGATAATGGCCTTCACGAGCTCTCCGAAACCCAAGAGCAATGCGTCCAAGCTCAAGCGCGTTAGGGATGCCGCGCTCGCGTCCCTAGGGAACCTCATCAAGCTCCTCCCGACGGGGACGGTCTTCCTGTTCCAGTTCCTCAACCCCGTCCTGACCAACAATGGCGATTGCGAGGACCTCAATGAGCTGCTCAGCCGCCTCTTCATCTATGGGTGCGGCCTCTCGTGCGCCTTCTCTTGCTTCACCGACAGCTACACCGGGTCCGACGGTCTGGTTCACTACGGCATGGCCACATGTACAGGGCTGTGGCCATCGTCGGCTTCTGAATTGATCGACTTGTCCAACTACAAGCTCCGGGTCGGCGACTTTGTGCACGCTTTGATCTCGACCATGGTTTTCATGGTGTCGACCATGCTGGACCGGACCTCCATTAAGTGCTTCTACTCGTCATCGTTTGAGAAGGAGCATGAGGTGTTGCTCAAAGTTCTGCCTCCGTTGATCGGCGCGATTTCTAGCGCGGTTTTCGCGGTATTCCCTAGCAAGAGGCATGGGATTGGGTATCCTTTTTCTAGTTACGAGTCCGATGATGAAGTTGCTTCCAAGGAGGTGGAATGATTTGAAGGGGAAAAAGAAGAAGAAGGAAGCTTTCATATGTTATGTGCTGGTTTGTGTAGTTGTTCCTTGGAAATGTGTGTGCTTGTGGTGTCTAGGATTTGCTTTGTGTGGTTGTTACTTTCTTGCTCTTATTGTTTTTCATAATAAAAATGTCGGTTATGTGAAGAGTTGCATGACAAGAGTCTCGCATTTATCATTGTTTAGTTTATGTTACACCGTATTAGCTTGATAAGCGGACTTGTAAGCCTCGCGGGTTATGTCGGGGAGATTGCCCAATCAGTTTATAATCTATTGTACGGATATCAATTCAATCCTAAATTTTTCAATTCTGTCAATTTAGTCATAAACCTGTATGCGAAATTTCAATTTAGTCATTTTGATCAATTTTTATCGGAAATCGTTGACTTATACACTAAGGCCCAAGGAGCCTGATTATTCGCACGTGTCACTAAAAGAAAAGGATGGTCACCCTTCACAGTCATTATTCAAAAAGTAGGAAGGAAATAGCAAATATCGGAAGTTCATCAACCCCAATTAGCATGATCACTGGCTAAGAAGTTTCCCCCTGATTGTGAGTTGTATTCTTTTAGAGATGAGTTTTGGATTGGGCCAAATTCAGCACAGCCTAAATTGTACGTCATACCAATTTGGTATGACTAAAACTTCCGACCGACAATTTCATGCGTTACTGCTAGATGACAAGATGTCAACCAAAACATGGAACATAGAACAAACCTTAGGCCCCGTTTGGTTCAACTTTGGGAAGGGGCTTTTGACTTCGAAAGCCCCTTCCCAAAATGCTGAACCGTTTGGTTCAGCTTTCCGAGTCCGAAAAACCAAAAGCTAGCATTTGGAATGCCGAAAGCCCAAAGCTGGTCCGGACCAGCTTTGGGCTTTCAGTATTCCACAAATGCTGAAGCCTTTTTTTCTCTTCCCAAATTACCCTCACTCAAATTTCAATATTTCGATTTTGCCCTTGTTACTGTTCATCTTCTTCACCGCGAGGGTGGCCGGCGAAGGACGGCCGACGAGGGGCCGGCGAGGGCGGATTTGGCCGGCGAAGGGCCGGCGAGGTCGCCCGACCCAGGCAAAGGCCACTTGGGGTCGGGCGACCACCCAGGCGCCGTCGCCTGGGTTGTGCGACCTCAGGCGACGTCGGCCTGGGTCGCGACCCAGGCGGCCGTCGCCTGAGGTCACGCGACCTAGGCGACCGCGACCCAGGCAACGGCCGCCTGGGGTCGGGCGACCTCCCGAGCGCCGTCGCTTTGGGTCGCGCGACCTCGGGCGACGTTGGCTTGGGTCACGCGACCCGAGCGACGGCGCTGGGCGATCGCCCGACCCCAGGTGGCCTTTGCCTGGGTCGGGCGACCTCGCCGGCCAGATCCGCCCTCGCCGGTCACATTTTGGTGAAGAAGATGAACAGTAACAAGGGCAAAACAGGATTATTAAAAATAAAAATTGCCAAAGCCCTTTGCAAAAAATTTTGCCAAACACTACTTAGGTCAAAATAGCTCTACAAATTTTTTTTTACCAAACGCCACTTGCATTTCCCCAAGTGGCTTTCACCTAAAGATATTTGCATTCCCCCAAGTAGCATTTGAAAAGCCGAATCAAACGGGCCCTAATTCCACAGTTAAACATGATCCACTAATTGCATGTGGGTAGCTAATTAGGAGTTTACTCTATAAAACCAACCAAATCCTATGCATGCAATCTCTTTTTTATCAACTTGTGAAACTTAGATATAATGCATGCAGTTGTTGACTTTCTTTCTAGTCACCGGATTGGTGGGTTGTAGACATAGACATCGCCTGCATTTATATTTAGTTGAGCTTGTGTAAGGATGATATTTATAACTTGTAAATCATCAATCAGACACATGATTCAAGGAATTATAATTTTTTTTTTGCATGGCTTGGAATTGGTCTCTTGGATCGAGAAATTTTGAATAAACACCCGATGTGCGAGACTTCCTTCAATCGACCCAAATAGGTAAATTACGTAAGTCTAAGGAAACTTGTGCGGGAAATACGTAATTTTTCACTTTTCTCTATGGTGATGATGTTGCTTGTGGTAGTAGTTGAGTGCGATTTGATGTTACTCATCTAAATAGTCACGAGACATCGAAGCGAATAGAAAACTTAAAATCTAATAAACAAAATGTAAACATCAACAACAGAGGCAGTTAGTATATAGAGGAAGAAGGCATTTTATGGGCTATATTTTTTTCATTCCTAATTGAATGAAATTTACTCTAATAAATCTTCTGATAATCAGGTTATAGACATGTGTCTCCCATTTATTTTTAGTTAAAATTGCATTTGGATGATATCTATATTCACAAACCTTCATTCAAGGTTTGATTGAAAGAAATTGGATGAAATTTTCATTGACCAATGATGAATGGAAATATGACCGGCGTTAATAATTCTTGTTATGTATGAGACTAAACTCGTAGGCTTGAGGGACGTATGCAATGCAAAATGCATTGACCGCTGACGAAGGGAAACATGATCAGCATTAATAAAAAAATTTATATGTGAGACTAAACTTGTAGGCTTGGGACAGATGCAATGCATTTAATTGCATATAGCATATAATTAGAAAAAAGTTGGAAAATGATATTTGTATAAATTTATACCCAAAATTGGCTAAACTTTGAACTGACATAATTTTATACCCAAATCTGGAAGCTCATGACCAGATTATTTCAAAAATGCGGTTCAATTTAAAAAAAAAAAAGCGTTGGGATCACAAATTTTCCGGAATTGGACCGAACATGGGGTCATGATATTTTCTTCGCTAAAAATCCAATTGCCGTGATTAACCCAAAATAATTTAGATGATTAGTCAAGCCACACTGACTCTATTTGCATATTTCAAGTTGAGATTTCATACTTGTCAAATTAGTACAATCAAATCCAAAAACTTACAAAAAGTGCAATCAAGTTCTATTTATTTTTCTTATCCAAGCAATCAAGTTCTAAAACTTGTTAAATAAGTGCAATCAAGTCATTCTGTTAACTCATCTTCGAAGTTTGTGTAGCTTCTCTATTACTAATTAATTGACAATTCTTGTCTAGGACTTGGTAGTTACCATGTATTATTCGATTACAAATCCATATGGTTGCTACAACTGACATTGTAAGGGCGTACCAAGGCATTTGTTATGCAGTCGCCAAGCTGTCACGATCTACCCAATTATCAGGAAATAGGTTTAGAGATACTTTATGGGACCCTTCCTAAGTCCATACCTCGCGTGACATTGGTTGTTCTAGTCTATGTATTCATTAGAAGTCGCCATTATCCATTATTGAGGGTCGACTAGAAACCTTAATCGAGACGCGGGAATGTCATCTCGATACATGCGCAATCAGGGATTTTTAAGAACAGGGACTTGATTACACTAGTTTTTTAACTAATACCCTTTTGGTTTCTAAACTTGATCGTTTGTTCACTAAAGTGACCATGTAGACTTTTTACCAATTATGAGTCCAAATGTTTTCATCTACTACGTGTCCATGCGATATTTGTATTCATTAAAATCTTAATGATTTAACCTAACCATTCTAAGAAAAGAAAACAATAATCAATGTATTAAAAGTGCGCAATCAAGAAAAATAAAAATGAAAGTGCACAAACAGCGAGTTAGCATATCTTTAAAGGAAAAAGCAATTAAAAATCCCTATGGTAAAGCGCTAAAGGCTTATTTAATTTCGAATCAAATTTTTTTAAGCCCAAAATTTTTATTAAAAGGCCTAAACTAGATGAATTCTAACTTTTTAGCTTTACCCACATTTTTCATTTTTCTAAATTTTTTATTTTTTATATTTTATTCTAAAAGAAGGACTTAAGACCGGACTGACTCAGTGGACTGATTCGGACTCTAGAAGTCTAGATTGGGTTTGGATTCGGACCGGCCTTTATGATCCGATCTGAATATAATAATGGATTGATGGGCTTAAGCCCAAGTTTCTAATTTTTGGTCTTCAATGCACTTAAGCCCAAATCCAAGCGCAGCCTAGACACATCAACATTCAGCCCATTTACTCGGCCCAGCCTCCAGCCCACAACACTCAAATCTGATTCAGCCTATCGATTGGATCCGACCGACTCTTATTATATCCAGATTTTAACTTCTTTTCTAATTTTTTTATTTCCCTTTATTATTTTCTATTTTCTATTTCATAGCGTATAATTAGGAAAAGTTTTGAAAAATGATGTTTATATATATTTACCTAAATTTGACCAAACTTTGACCGGGCATGACTTTTCCGTCCGACCTTCCATTGACTCGATTTTGTACCTATGAGAAGCTTATGACCTGATTGTTTCAAAATAAAGTTCGATTTAAAAAAAAAGTGTTAGGATCATGATTTTTTCGGAATTGGATCAAACGGATGGTCATGATATTGTCTTTGCAAAAAATCAGATCATTGTGATTAACCCTAAATAATTTAGAAGATTAGTCAAGCTGCACCAACTCTATTTGCATTTTCAAGGATTTGGAGATTTCATACTTGTCGAATTAGTGCAATCAAGTCCAAAAAACTTACAAAAAGTACAATTAAATCCTTCCGTTAACTCACCTTCGAGGTTTATGTAACTTCTCTATTACTTGTTTTGGACTTGGTTGTTACCATGTATTATTTGATGATAAATCCATATAATATGATGATATAATGTGCAACTTGAAACAGGGGTGGTTGCTTGAATCCACATTGTAAGGCATGTCAAGCCATTCGTTATACTTTGACAAAAAAAAAAGCATTTGTTATGCAGTCCTCATTGGTGACTTTGCATCAGGATCAAGCCCGTCAATATTTGGAAAGATGAGGAGATTATAGGGAATTTTCAAACAGCAGGCTATTACTTTACAAGATTATGTATGTTGAAGTGCAATGTAAGTTTTTGTTCCATTAATACGGAGAGAAAGTGTCACGCCTCAGTCCTATCCACCAAGGCTCCAGCGCGCAACTTCCCTTCTTAGGTCATGAATTGCGACGTCTCAGGAGGTGTCGCCATCCTATTATCTAACAAATAAGCACATGTGGAAGCGAAATCAAAATCACCCAACCAACAACACAGAAAGGATAGCACGGGAAACACATTCACAAAAGCATGCTTCATATATATGCATTAACGACCCACATCGGAAGTAAGGATAATTGCACGCCCACTACACTGGCCCTTTTCCGATTACATTACAAAAAGAAAAGGGGGTCGGGGTCTACTTAGCTTCTCTATTTACGAGGGCTACCTCAAAAAGAACATGGCTTCCTCCATGTTCGAGCATACTATGGCTCGGGTTCGGGGTCGTAGTTCA